CTCTCGCTTCGGGCTTTAATTAATTAATGCATTTGTTTATCAATCGCTGGCGATCGAGTCGTTTTTATTCGGCGTATTTGCGGAATTTTTTTCACTCAATATTTGTTTGATTGTGTAAAAAGGATTTTTATCGCATTTTCCGAATTCAATCTGATTCTCGCGCGCATACATCCTCGCATTCCATCTGCTATTCAGATGGTTGAAATCCTTGGATCTTAAATCGGAATTGAAATACTCTATAAATTTTAGAGTATCTCATTTTTATGGCGTCGACAGATTCCAGGATCTTTTCCCCTTTTGCTCTCTCTCTCCCTTCTTCTCTCTCTTTCTTTCTCTCTCTCTCTCCCTTCCTCTTTCTCTTTTTATGGAAGAAAGGCTACACCTTCTCTTAAGATTATCGTGTTATCCATGCTTAATCGGTCGATCTTTTCCAAAGTTTTCCAGCGAACGAATAATTATACCCGATGAATATTCCATTCGATCCGACTTCGTCCATCGCTTCGCTCATTAAGTATCGCCACCCCAAAACCTATTTCCTTGCTAATGAATTCTCAGCTTCGCGAATTTTTTTCACTCCTCAAATTTTCGCGATCAAAGTTATCCCATCATAACTTTCGTTAATGTAAATAATATATTACAGAATTTATCGATACCGAGTTTGCATCCTTCGCATTTCTCGCGCCGCAAATTTTCAGTAATTTCTCGCCAACTTTTCACTTTCGCGAAATATGCGAAATATTCGTGAAATAACAAAATAGCAAACAATTTTGTTGAATTTACTTTTTAATAGGAAAAAAAAAAAAAAAATTATTTCAAATAAGCTTTTCGCACGCACAACAACGCAACGCGCGAAAACACAGATATTCCTGCAATAGTAATGGCAGAAACAACGTCCGTGATTGACCGCGCCGCAGGATCCGAGGGTCCTCTTCTCCCAGGGTAGAAATTAAAGCGGTAAGTCCCGTGGGCACATGTAAGTTATTTCTGCGCATCGATCCCTCGTTTTCCTGTTTATCCCCACCTCCTCGGCCCCCCGTGCCTGTGGCCGACGTTTATATTTGACCCTACTTCGGCTATATTAAGACGTCGTTTAACACAATCACGCAGACTTCTTCCGGCGAAACCGCGATTTGCGATTAATGATGCTTTAACAGGATAACGGGAGTTCTCGATCGAGTTTTAATGAAATTTTATTGCTACATTCTTATACACTGGTTTTATCTTTTGTTAAATTTAGCCTTTACCCGGTGGTTTTTCACGTCATCGCTGTCGTCCCGACGATGATAAAGAAATTAAACACCGTTTTCAATATCGCGAATCAATGGAGAAACGTATAAATTCAATATAAATACTAATTATTATTTACGACGAGTTACAAATTACGTTTACAAGAGAGATGGTTATTAATTATTATAAAGATTATTATTTAGCTTTCAAAATATGTCAATATACTTTTAAAATACAAATTAATTTATTAAATCAAATTTAATGAATGCATTATCATTCGGTTGCTCTCTTTCATATATAATACCCAATATCATTTTACGAAAGCAAATTAACAGAACTTGCGTATACGTGTGTACATGCGTGATGGAAAAGCATCCCATCTGTTATATGATAAAAAAAAAAAGATACGTCGAGAGACTGTATTTTTTTCTAAAACAGATAGATATTGGTGCCAATTGTATTCGACGTGGCAACGCGAGTATCACTAGTTGCCTGCCACACGGTGGTCCATTATGCATAAGCGTGCTCGTTTCCGGTCAACAAGAAGCCTTGAGCTTCTCCAGAGCGCCTCGTAAAGAGCGTTACCTATCACGCGAGAAGACCGATGCGATTCCGGATAATGTCGGCGATAAATAGCGCGATTTATGTGCCCTTTACGATGATTTTGCCCGTTTTCGCCCCCTTTCCGCCCCTCTCCAAATTGCTCGAAATAGCAAAACCGCCGAATAGTTCTGCGAATAACGTATCGCAGCGGTAAGCTTTTTCTTCTCGCTGATTCTTCCCGTCCGACAGCCAACATTTCATTCGGGACACTGGCAAATTTCCAACTCTTTTGTTTCAGATACGGCGATAACCAGCGTTCTCGCTTGAAATCCGCCTTCTCGAAATCAGGCTGAAGTAAAGATTATGAATAGATCCTCTCCCGAGATCCCGTTCCTGTTGCTTCCTTCGCATAAGAGGCGATATTTTATTCAGGATGTTGGAAAATTTTCGAGCAACTTTTTTTATTTTTTCTTTTACTCTTAATATTTCATTCGGAAAAGTTCCTTTTTACATCTGTAATTTAGAATCCCCGGGAAACGACGATCAATATTTCATTTACATTGATAGCTGGAATGCGGGGCGGAACGTTGTAATTAGTCGTCGCAGCTTCAGATTGATTTCGATCGGTGAAGACGAAACATCATCATTGTTGTGCGTTATCAATCGCCATTTGTCGCTCTTATTTGTCTGCCGCACTGATTGCATATCAAAGAGCCCTGCGCTTTAATCGTCAACGCTTCTGATGTTCTTTTAACGCAGATGCGTCGATGTGGGCGACAAATGGGACAATTTACCGCGCCCTTATGACATTTTTATTCTAATCCACCATCTGCTCTCAAAGTTGTTCGAAACAGGCGGGTGACATTTTATTGGAAACGCTTTCAAACGGTAAATATTTTAACTCTTCCGCACCGGCTTTTGTAAATATGGGCAATGTCGGCAATAAATAGCGCCGTTACGCGAATTCCATCTCTCCCCGAAATTGTACTCGGAATAACGACTGATCTATAAATAGCGTAACGCCCTCCAGAGAGGTTTCTGTTATTGATACTTTTTTTCGATTGATGTACCATCTGGTTGGAAGATTTTGTCCTTTTGTTCTCCGACTTCTACAAATATCGACACAGCGATGTCAGTGATAGATAACAGTAAAAAGACGTCCCTACGCGATTTCCCCCTTCAGACCGCGCGGACAGGCAACATTTCTCTCGAAACGTTCGGCTATTTCGTTCCGGCTTCTCCAATAAAATCAGAATTTACAGTCAATAATTATTTACAAGCAATCTGTAACTTGACATTTTTTTTAATTCTACGTAAATTTGTCAAAGCGCTCAACAAGATGGCTCTCTCATTAATTAAGCTGCTCGAAATTATTTAATAAATTAATTAATTACTGGAAAAATCGATGATTATTTGAATATAACTGAAGTTTAGCAAACTATAACTTCTTATGTGAAACAATCGAATTCTATTTCTAGACTCTCTATAAATTTTTAAATAGTAACAATAGGCGTAGCAATAATAGACCTTTCAACGAGGGCTCGTAAAGCCGATATTTGCGTGAAATATTAATCCGAATAGTTGCATAACAATCTATGAATCTGTAATTAATTACACTCCCGATCAAAGATCGCGCATATTGTTCACGGCTGTGAATATTACGGCCTAAATACAGACACGGTAATATCGGCAAAGGAATAGCGTCCTTACGCGAATTCCATGTGTCTCTGCAAATTATTCGTAATAGCAGACAGTATTCTTCCGCCGTCCTACTTTCCGCTATTTTTGTTCTCGTCTAGCGTTTCACACGGGGAAGTCGGAGAATTTCTCGCCCTCTCATTTTCCATTAGAGAAATATACAGCAATAGATACAGTAATACCGGGTGATAAATAACGCCTTTATGCGCCCTTGTGTGATTTAAATCGTCTCCATTAAATTGCTCGAAATAGACACCCGACACTTTATTCGGAACGCTCGCAAATTGCTCGCATCTGCCGATTCACTCTCTCACTCGCCAATTTCCAGTGTAGACACAACACTGCTAACAATATTATCAATATTAAACGCCAAGATTAAATGTGATTAAACGCCACACATTAAACATCCAAATTAAATATTATCAAATATCAAATGGAATTAAACGTTACGCCGAGCGCTCGTGTGCGTGTGCACGCGCGCGCGCGCGCGCGCGTGTGTGTGTGTGTGCAATAATATCTCAAAATCCGTGTCTTTGTTGCGAAACGTGCCCGAATCAATCCGCCCGATATCCTTTCGCCGCCCTAATCCGCGAGGACTCGTCCGCACGCTTTACGCAAAGCTCACCTCGAACTAGCGTAAGGATGCCCAACGGCATCACCAAGATGGCGACCATAAGGTCCGTGATGGCCAGGCTCATCAGGAAATAATTAGTGACGTTTTGCAGCCGCCGCTCCCAGGCGATCGCCAGGCACACCAGGATATTTCCGGCGGCCGTTCCTAGCACGAGGACGAGCGCCAGCATCGCCCACCAATTGTTGAGCTCGCCTTCATCGTCCTGGCTTCTGGCGGGACTCGCGCTCGTCGTCGTCTCTAGGTCGATCTCGCTACTGTTCGCGAACGTGGCATCCAACAGGACCAGAGAGTCTTCGAAGGTATCCGCGAGAACGACCTGCACGGTCGTCGACCTCGTCATCGCTCAGTCGAAACTTCACTTTGCGAAAACGCGCCTTTCACGGCACGCGAGGGCTCTTCACCTGAAAGCGCACTATTCAGAATCGTCGAAGGGTACTGATGCCTCGAAGGATTATCGGAATGACAGCGGTTTATTTCAAGATTAATAGTGCGGAATATATTGGTGGATTTTGAGGATTTCTCAGCGACATGAAAGAAATCCAGGATTTATGTGGAGAATATATCATGTAAAGAATAATACGCGATCTAATTGAGTAATCTAATTAAAACATATCGTGCAGTCGGCAGCTAAAAGAAGAGGTTTCCCGATCGATCAGAATGATGAATCGAGAGGGAATATTTCAAAGGTCGGAAATTCGAAGAATGAAAACTGAGAGAGGGCGGGATATTGAAGACAAAATTCGGAATGCCGGGAATTTTGGAAAACAAAAATTCAACGTTGCAAATTCCCCAAGTCAAGTATCTGACAAATGAAAATTTCCAGGGAAATCAGAATTTCCTATATTGTTTAAAATTAGAATTTTCTTTAAAACTGATTTCATAATGAAAGTGGGAAGATCCAAGATTCCGAGCGTAAAAATTGAAGGATTTGCACATCCTAGAAGAAAAGGGAGCGGAAGATTCGCAAATATTCAGTGAAATCAAAAGAGCTGGCAAAAAATTCGAGAACTTTAAAAATGAGAGAATGTTAAATTTGTGAAATTCGCAAAAGAAAGATTTAAGGAGCTAATAATCTGGCAATAAAGATTCGAAGAAATCTACAATTTTGAAAATTTTAAGTTTTCAATCGTCACACTTTTATATATGTTGCGCGCTTTGATTCCTAAATATTTGCCCCGAAAGTTACGTCGATTGTGTTTCTGCGACGCGGTGTAATAAAAGTGTCACGATATTTCCTGGGAAAAGACCGTTCCGGAAGGCGGAAGAAACCACTTGCGCCGCGTCTTCCACGAATTGCGGGTATCGATAGCGATTCAATTTCATCGATGCAACTGATCGGAGGTACCACCGAGTGATATATTCGTGGAAAGCGAGGATTACGTGCTCAACAGGTTACATTGGCGAGTGGATTGTTCGCGCGAGCAATCGCGAAATATTATCGCGATAAACACCGCGAGCGCATTTTCAACTTTTGCAATCAATAATCTGTCCCGGATTCGAATAAATTCTGCAAAATCTTGACATTGACCATATTTTACGTATCTCAAAATTGATTTGCGCTTTCAGAAATACATAATACCAAATCTAAGTGCCGAGAGAAAAGGAAAGTTAATAGCGTAAGGATGAAATATTCGCGACAAATAGCAAATTTGCAAAGTTTTCGTTAAACATGCGTTACATTTTTAATGAGCGTCCTTTGAGCGTCATTTTTAATAAACGTCTTGTTAAAAACAAGAGAACAAAGAGAAATTGAAGGTTACACACTCGGAGAATAAGAGAAGTTGCAAAATTATTCTAAAACACAAGAGTTTTGGACAACGAAATACATTGGATCGATAAAAAATAAATTAAAACAAATTAGCGAAAATTCGTATAGATCGAGGATTCTTAGGTCCTACGACTTCCACGATCTTTTCGAGTTTCAGCTTAAGGAAACCAACTCGGTGGAAATTCCTAAGGAATTAAAACTCTCTTTTTAAGATTTAAGGGGACAGAAATAAAATATCGGTAAAATTGATGAATGGCGAGCGAGAAACTTGGGACTTTGAAATCCGGATCTCTCCCGGTTTGAGGAATTCCAATCGCGCGAGTGGGAAGTTAATGGGAACTCGAGGGGGCCAAAATTCGTCGAATGTTTCGGAAAACCTCCGTGGGATCGGAACGCACATTGTTCGGCGAACTTTCCTCCATGGCGAAAAGGGTGTTCTCGGTAGTCGCGATTTAAAAAAAAAAAATACGGATGCACCGGCGCGCGCGCCACCGACAAACAGAAGGGATCCGGGATTGACGATTGACGAACGTGAATGATGATTCGCGGGACCGACTTGGTGCGCGAAGGGGTGAGCAGCACACGATCCACGAGTTGCCTTGCCGCGGACTACTGGCCCACTGGCTTTTATTTCGCCGCCACCACCCCAAGCGGCGAGTCCTCGCCGATGCTCCTCACCCTCGGCGCCGCGACGCGCAAGCGTCGCTTCACGGCCTGCCCACAACGGGACACCTGTTCGTCCTTCGTTGTCACCCCTACGTATTACGTGCACCCTTGCACTCGTGAAATGCAATGTCTTGTCAATAAATGATCGGAAGCGCCGCCGTGACATTTCTCGCCCTTTCGAGCTCTTCATTTTTGCATATCCTCGCTTACGGCACTTGGAAACCCTTCGCTCTCGTTAATTTCTCTCGCAATTTAATGTTTCGAGAGTATCAAGAAATTATTATAGAGTGTTCTCATGTTACAGAGATATGACGTGTCGTTAGAGCCGTGTTTCCCGGACATCGCTTTCCGCGAAACGATATGGCGGTGAATTCTAGCAATCTAGCAGCGAACATGATGGCAAGTTTTATCAAGATATTTGTGCGATGTAAAAAGGAGGTTTGTCAAGAGATGAAGTTGCACGGTGTTTGCACGAGAGAAGATTGTTAGGGAAGAAAAGTAAGCAAATTAGATGAAAAAGAAAATGTTTTAAAAAACTGTCTGCTATAAAAAAGTCAATATTTTTGTTTGTACATAATTAACTGAAATCACCTAATTTTACTGAGAAAAAATATCTTGCATTTGTTGTGAAATTGTTACAACAACATTAATTGAGAAAATTATTAATTAAGATGGAAGTTCGCTAGAATCTGATGTGATCGATGACAAGATAATTGGACAACCAGTTTATAATTACGTTCACACTCAAAATACACCGTAAGAGATTTAGTGGAAAAAGTCCTAGCTAAATCAAAAGTTAAATTGCATTTGCGAAAGTATACATCGTTAAGCGTGTAAAACTGGACATAATTAAAGTAAATTTTTTTAATCGCGAGAATAAAAAAAAAAACACGTCGTCAAGTGTATCAGATTACAGTTAATCGCACGGTAATTCCACGTACACTTCCGTATGCTGCTTCCGAGAAAATGCTAATTCTATTATCTTATTTGAATCATATATTCGGGGAATATAAAAATGCAAAAGAAATTGAATATTAAAGAAGGATTCCAAAAAGCCCCGCTCGCGTTTTCGTATCTCGTGCAGTATGCGTTTTGCATATCGATATTCAAATTCCTGAAATTAATACGGCTTTGTTCGAGTATTAAATTTACATTGACACTATTTCCGCGATATTATCTCTCCCGACTTTCAACTTGTACATTCTATCAGTTTAAGTTCTTCTACGCTCATTATTTTCAAGTATACAGTATTTTAACCGAGTTCTTCATTTATCTGCGATTAATGCGATAATAATTTAATTGTCAAAATATCAGCTGTTATTTTCTACTACTTTATATTTTACACCTTTCGCGACGGCTCTCCATTATGAAAAAATAAATGTGGCTCGAAGGCGACGAAGTTTGAAATTGGCGAACAGGATTAACTGGCACATTCAATAAATAAATAAATTGGTCGACTATTTGTGCTTCCGAAATTTATCTTTTATCTTGTTTTTTTTATAAATAAATAAATAGTTTACAGGTTAGAGATATGGGTTATATTGTCGCCGTGCGAGAATCTCGTTTCACTCTAAATCGAATATCGATTTGCAACGCATAATGCATGAAGGTGTCGTGAGAAGAGGATACTTATCAGAGCCACGCGATAACTTTGTCATGATAAATTGGGCACGAATAAATATTCCCGTTAAAAGCAACTGGGCGCTCGAAAGTGGAGTTTCAACATTAGCGTGGAGCGATATAACTACAAAAATTGTGATAATTTCGTGATTTATTACAGCCTTGCGAGGTCTTTTTTTGTCTGCGTGCAATTAAAGGATTTTCGCAAAAAGCCACAGCCAAAAGGCCACGTTTTCTGTAGCCCAGGATTCTGTAGGAAAATACGATCATTGTTTTCGTATCGTTCATGCTGATTCGTATATCGCACGAGATTTCGTTCGGCGACATATATTTACGATGTACGTGATTCGACATGTTTTTCCTTCTTCGAACTTTCTGACGCTAAAAAGTGCGACAAGATTAATTTTGTATCCTCACATTAATCAATTTCACATGTTTTTCGAGGCACATTTTCACCGAAATTTAGTTTATAATTGAATAAACTATGACGATTTAATAAAGCGTCTGCTTCTTAAATCGAAAATAAAGCTCCATTTGACTGACTCGATATTTTTCTTTCCCAAATTGCAGTAATTCGCAGTTTCTTCTCGCGGCGTATGTGCGCTCTCTTAGGCAGACTCGCGAAATTCTGCAACAATTAAGCGGGACGTAACCGCATCGTTATTAAACGCGCCATCACTTTAGCTGGACAAGTTCTTGAGCCAGACTTAAGCTCGCCTTAATCCACTTAGAAATATCCTGGATTTCCAAACTGAATGTCGATCCAGCAGGATCAATTATCCTCAGAAATCGGCTATTGAAAACTTGGCCCGGACTTGGGGGAAATTTTTGCGCATTAATCAAAGACACACTTGATTAAGTAAGTTCGTCGAGAAATATCCAATCATTAAGAGTTACAGATTGAATCACCTAATGAGTGCTCTCAATTAGCTGTCAAATCTCCCTTAATGCATCTTATAAGTTTCTTGATTCAAATTTTAAGTGTTATAGAAATTAACGATAAATATAAAAAATTCTGTAACATGTTTACATACGAATTAATTGCATTACTGCAAATGCAATGCTGCAAATATATCTTCGTGGATTTTTCTGAGAGGAAAATGCGGTTGTTATCTATGCATTATGCGATAGTCATTACATCGCGTACAACTACGTGCTTGCACAGCCGCCGTCTATTATTGGCCTTAAATGTTCATGACGTTTCTTGTGCCGAAAATTTCATTTCACGCTCGAATAAATTCCCTGGTGATGGATTAACGCTATTACGCGCGGAGATTTATGTCACCTGGTACTTTTTCCTTCTCTTTTTTTTTTTTTTTTACTTGATTTCCCTTATCCTTCCTGGGATCCCTTCCTGAAATTGCATGGATTCGGAGCTCCGAAAAATTCGGTGACAATCCCAGAAATCAAAGATAATCGGAAGTGAAAAAAAAATTGCGAAGGAATTGATTGAAAATAAAATTAGACGCAAAACGGAAATCGTATGAGAGATCAAACAATGATGAATTGAAAATAAAAATTCAATTAAAAATAGAATCGGAAGTATAAATAGCATTTAATTAAGAACTGTGCTGAAAACTTGGGGATATAAATTTAAATGTTAATGAGATCCGAAGTAAAAATATAAGTTTAATTTAAATTAAAATATAAACTCATACAATAATGAGATCACAAATAAAAAAATCGCGAACTGTCCGCCGTTCGTTTATTCTGCTAGTCTATTCTTTCATCGCGCTCGATTTATTCAAATTTGCTTGCGCACCGGCGCAATTTCGAGTAACACGAGTTTAATAAGCGGATAAGGCATTTGTTATACAGCATCTCCCGCGACTTTCTGCAAAACCGCCGTCATCGTACAAATGCACGTGCGCACACGTGCGGCCGCATGTCCGAGCCGGCGACGTTAGATCGATCGGCGCGCCGAGTCACGTCAGCGCACTTCATTTCCGCGGCCGGGCCCGCAATAAAGCAAGGCGAAATCCTATTTATCCTCCGTCACGATATTCGAACTCGGTTGAATTTAATAAGCGTTGATTGCAAACGGCGAACACCGTTAAAAGTGTCCGTCGCGTGTTCATCCAATTTAACTTAGCGTCTGCATTACGTTCAATTAGCCAAGTATACGAAAATAAAGCCCGCCCCGCGTTACTTAATATTACAATTCGTATCTGAATTAATGTTAATTTATAATCGTCGGCAGGATACAACAAGCCCGAAAATCGCGAAAATTTCATAATCAAACATGTCCGTGCTAATCACGTGTTAATTGAGCTGTATATTGTCTGAATTGCATTTCTTGCATATTTAACGCGATCTTCGTGGTACGAAAAATAAATAAATAATTTTATTTCAAATGCCATAATAAAAGATGTCAATTTAGTTTTCTTTGCATCATACAGACTTTATCTAAAAAAAAAAAACGAATTTGAAGAGAAGTGAAGAAATGTTTATATTTTTAAATTCATTACATATACAAATATAATATTACAAAAATAAAAAAATCATAATACGAGATGTTTTCTCATTTGAAATACTATTATGAGATTAAATTTCAAAAGCAACGTTATCTCAAAAACAAAGCTTTGAAAAAGTTTATTCCGCTTTCTCAACTTATGCTTGCATAAAACACTGTTTCTTTTTACGTCATAAAACGTTAACCGTCATTATACTATTAAATTAATTAATTAAATAATTAATTCCCATTAATTATGATAATTAACATTATATTAAGATTAATATAATGTCTAATTTAAAGTAATTGACATGTTTTATGATAAATCGAGCCAATCAAACTGGCTTTTAAAATCATAATCTTTAATGCGTTTCATAAAATTTAGAAAATAGTTCAAAAATATATTATACAATTTAGAATTATTTTAATTTTCTAGTTAATTATTAAGTTTGTCGCCATATGTAAATAACCCTTTGTCCCTTCGCTTTCCTGCGAGGGTTTCAAAGAGGGACTTGCTATGGATGCGGCAAAAGACGAGGGAAATGGACTGAAAGGTAATCAGCATGATGGGGTCATTCTCGGATTGATCGATCATTTCGTGGTCTATGCGTGACGCGAAGCTCGCTTGAAATGAAGCCATTATTTCACGAGTGGGAATAAAATTCGCCGTGCTCAAATTTGACCGCCGGCCGGCCAATCCTTTATGGCCTTTTTTTTGGTTTCGCGCGAAAGAATTCTAATGAATGGAGCCTGGCCTGTGAAATGCGTCCGTTTTAATTAAAGAATTCTATCCGTCTTAATCCCCCGGTAGATTGATGTTAAAATCAAAAATAGATTTTTATCGGTTCTCTTCTCCCTTTTTGCATCCGGCGAGAGATAAAAATCAAAAATTAAAAATCCCGGGAAATTGAAGTTTTGAGTTTCGTAAAATTTGAAAAATTTAAATACGCTCAAGTCAAAGGGATATAAAAATTTGTGCGTTCAAAAATAAATAAAAAGTGATTGATTTATGTATAAAAGTTTCCCAATTGTCGGTCCGGCAAAATATTTTTGCAAGTCCGTAAAAATAAATAAATACATTTATTTTTCTTTTGAGTCAAAATTAGAAAATATCAATATATTTAAATAAACGCTACAAATATAGCTTGAAATTTTGTTTTTTTTTTTTACTCGGTTTTTGCCTAACTTTTGCCGAGTGTTAAAAGCTTTTCGCGAGTAAAAAGCTTTGCGCGAGTATAGAAAGATTGAAAACTACTGGTATAAATTTATAGCAGCGGCGGCGGCAGCAGTAGCGAATTTTAGCGTGATAATTTCGGATGCGAAACTCGAGCTACTGCTAATAACGAATTTTGTCAGCGTCGACTATTAAGCGCGCCCAAGTTTTATTTTTTTCATCGCCGGCCGTGGCCAATTGGAAAAGCTCCTCGTTTTTCCTCCGCTTTGTTATGCATTACTGGAAATGGAGAGCTACGGATTAACGAGCTTCCGTGCGTTACCTTTTATCCCACGAGATTTTGCAGTTCGGTCAATCCGCGCTGTACACAGAACTGCGCCGGACTTACCGCATCGCTTTTCATCTGAATTCTTTTACCAATTCAGATCGATGGAAGCGCAACGCGCTGGCTCTCGAAACAAATATTTTGTATGCATTTGATAAAGATTCCTTTTGATACACGCCATTGTTGTACATATTGATATTAGTGCGCAAAGCTTCACTTTTCACGGTGAAACACAACTGCATTGTTTGCGAAAGAAGCGTTCACACGTATTTGATCGAGATTTTCTTTATCACAAACTTTTTACGGTGGAAAATCAGATTTTCTTGCACGGATCGAACGTATTGCTCGCGAAAATGAGCGTTTTGCATAAATTTGATGGAAACTTCTTTTATCGCACACACAATTTTCATTGCAATTTCTCATTATTTGCGTGAAATTATGTAAATGTGTCTTCGGGAAATAAGAATTTTTCGCAGCTCGGACTTCCGTCCGTGTTGCACGGTAACGTCGCTCGATCATTTTAACGGGCACGTCATCTCGCAGCATCCTCGCGGCGATCCAGAAATCGCAAATTGCAAACTGCGACATCAACGCCGTAATGGAGGTACCGTGTTCGCCGTTATACCATCTCTTCCAGAAAGCGTTAAACTTACTTACGAGCATTACGCGCGGAAACGTCGCGCAGAACTCGATGAATTTCGCGGCTACGTTTCCCCGTATAGAGATATGAACGGGATGTGCAATGTTTGTATAAGCACGCCGGCGATGAATCTTTAGAGCGCGTCAGAGCGTGTCGTGCTACCAAATTGAATTTTTACATTTTTGCATATTTTTTTAAAATATAATTTAACATGTTTTTGAATATTTTAGAATTTAATCATGTGTGACTAAGCGACATTATATACCACATAATTTTGTATACTATTTACCGCAAATTGTTGTAAAAAAAAAAGTTAAAATATTGTATTAAATTATACAATGTTAATGTTACGCAACGTAATTGGCAATTCAATTTGATATTCGACGTGCGATTCGTAGAAAGCCTGTCAATCATACTTTCCGACTCTCGCATTTTTATCCAGACTTATAAGATTCGCATTAGTACGATGATATTCTCAAATACATTTAGGTCGTTCCGGCTTTCGTGTAGAGCTGTTTGTTCTGCGCGCAAAGGCCGAAGTGCTTTTACCCTAATTGAGCCTAATGAAGGAACAAAATCAGCAGTGTCAGTGAAAGATATAGCGTCGAAAGGCAACGTCTAATGAATGAATTTTTTAACGGATCATGGATTTCGAATTTTTCTCTTGCGTCAAAAACTATCAAAAATCACAAGATCTCTCTGGAATTGCAATTTAGGTTCTTTCATTCCGAACTTATCCGAGTATACGCAGAACAAACAGCTGCCTCAACAAGTTGGAATTCGTGTACTTTAACAGAAAGAGTATTACTCCTGCAACTTTTTGATTTATGACCTTAAATGTGTCATCAAAAAATAAATTTTATATTAACTTCAATTTTTTTGTAATTAAATCATTCTTTTTAAAGAATTAAGTAAATTCTCATATTATTTACGCGCATACACGTGTGTGTGTAATATTCAATATTTGATTTTTAAAATATAGAGAGGGTCCTATTTTCAATAAAATATCTAAATATTTCGAAAACAAGACACTTTTGAAATAAAAATTTCAAATAAAAGTTATGTAGTTGCTAAGATATAAAATGATTCGGTTTGACCTCAAGTTTCGCCACCAAGAGTCAAGATTAATATAAATTTTTCGAATGACATTATGTCATTTAAAGTTTTGCAGTTATTTCATGCAGAGTACTACAAAGCTAAAGACTTACTTGCTTCAGTTGATAAACAAAATTCTTCTCTTCGGAGTCCTTGAGAATGGAATCGGTTAATCTTCATTCCAAAAAAAAGATTCGCGTAATTTCCATGGCCCAGTGCACTTTTAAGATAACGGAAAGATGTATGTTACATAAAGTAAATTGATGGGTTGCACACGACACGATAAATCTTTCTTCTTAACAGCCAATTTAACTTTGGGAAAAGTGGATCAGGTGCCGATAACTTAGCTACTTTCCATTCAACAATGGCCTGCAATTTGAAAATTATAAACAATTTTAAATTAAAATTATAAACCAAATTATAAACAAACGATTATAAAATTCAAAATGACTTTACTGTTTCAATGTTGACGGCGGCACAATTTCTTTGGAAAAATTCCGATGTTTTCACTATTTTCAAGCACTTCACTATTGTTGATAAGCACTTCACTTAAAGAAAACACGAGTCACAAAACTGAGTGCACACTAAAAGGATTAAACCTGAAATTAGATGAATATAAAAAGTATATAAGAATTCTTAAATAAATAATAACATATTGCAAAGAAAAAATTCGACATTGACATGTTTCAATATCATTGAATTTGACAATCTTTACTTTCTTGTCTTTGTTTGAATTCTAACCCTTAAATATTTTTCTTCGTTAAACTTATATATATTTCTATATATATCTACACTACCAGATTCTTAAATCCTTGGATATTATTTTTGAGCTCTTAACTTTTTATATCCAAAATCGTGAAACTCCTAATTCATACTTTTATTTTAGAAATATATTATTACATATGTATATAGTCAAATGAAGATGACAAGTAATCAATGTGGTACCACAACGACACAAAGATCTGTGTAAAGCGTAAACATATGCAATTCTTGATTTATAATATTGCAAATGTATAAACCTAAGTATTATATATTCACAAAGGCGTGCGCGTGTACATACACGCACAGACGCACACGTATATGTATAAAGTATATTTAAATATTATATTATATTCTTACTGAATTTTGCACGGTGTCAAAAATATAAATTGTCTCTAAGAACACCATCATGAAAAATCCAATTGTCTTCTTATATCTTGTCACAACACTAGGTGCAGCAGGTGGCCGTCAACCAAGTAGTTCAAAGTCTTCATCGGATGTGTCATACTGACGTTCAATATGTTCGAAATCCACAACTGTGGAAAGAATTACATTCTTATAATATTTGCTGTATTTAAATACTTTCATATGTAAAATTATGAGAGTTCTAGAGTTAATTTGAGCTCGTAAAAAATGACTACAATATATTATATTTTATATCTTACGTAAAAATATTTTTAAAAATTTGTTTCTCTATGCTTCCTATAAAAATATATGTTAATCCTAAAATGTTACTCTAGAATTAAACGTTATAATGGTGTTGAACTTTAGACAAATCAACGTATTTTATACACAAGCAAAATTGCATAAAATATAAATTTTATTTAAATGATGATAAGGTACTTACAACTGGAAGCTGCTATTGTTTCGGAAACAGCCTCCTCTGCTGGTGACCAGTGAACCAAACGCTCTGTGCAAATTTCGAACAACGGTTGTTTCTCGGGTAAAATTAATTCTTCTTGCATCGACTTGCATAAAGATTTGAATTCCTTTTCCGTAGCGCAGAAGAAGCACTGAAATATAATAAATTATTTGTCAAGTGATGTACAAATCAAATTTACACGATATTATGGTTTGCATCTGAATTCGAGTTCAAATTATACTAACAAGTGCCACAGAAGGATCCATTTCCGTAACAGGAATACGACTAGCTGATTTGCAGTGATATGTGGCATCCATTTCTACTTCTTCTTCGTTCATTTTGTCTTCGATACTACCTGATCTCTGGGTTGTATGAGGATCCAAGTAGACCACCTCATCTCCTAGAAAAATTCATTTTGTGTATTCATTCAACAATTACTCCTTTAAATATCATCAAATGTATGTTTATCAAACATTTATAAAATATAGCGTAAAGTATATAGTGTAAAGTTACTTTACATTTCATTAACTTGAATATTTTTTAATGTGATGAGATTAGTGCAAAATATTTTTTCATAAATAGATTCTAAACTAGGTGCAAAGACTTGGCAATTATGATTTGACTTAGTTTGTCAAGTAGTTTTAAGTAAAACAGTCTTTTCTTTGGAAGAAATTAATTTTTGCGCTGTTCTAATCATTACAGTTTTAACCGTTTCTACTCAAAAAATGCCACAGCGGCGACATCTTGAGGCTGTCTTAATAATCGACGACGCCAAAATGGCGCCACATTTGATTCAGTCTGCGGTGATACCAATCAATAAAACGAATACAAAGAATTGGAAATACAAATTTTTATATTTATAAAATTTATACAAACCTACACAGCCTATAAAATATAGGGCAAGATTGGGTTTCCCTCCAATGACTCCTAAAGATTGTGACATCTTGAACGATGTCTGAAAAAAGTATTTTCTATGGAGATCCACAGTTTGCACTACAGACTAAACAAATAACAAGAAACTACGATACAAATAGACTTTTTTATTATTATTTTATTTTAATTATGAGAATTGTTTGTAATTTTTTTGCATTATTTTAAATATACGTGTATATTTTAGAATAACATGTTTTCATATATCAAATTGTATCTCATTAAGCTTAACGTTTATATAATATTTGCATTTAATATTTTTATATCCAATAATTTTTACCTTGAGTCCATTAATGTATACAGGATTGATCTCGCTGAGTCCAAGGCGCAATGGGATTAACAATAATAAAGGTTTCCATTGGCTGGGTGCCCTTAGTGGTATTTCTCCATCTACTTCTGCTGTCACTCCACCCTCCACTCTACATTGCCTCACTGTAAATCCATACACGACATTTATTAAATTATAATTCTATCATTTATTTTTGTTGAAGAAAAAACCTACTCAGACAAATCTCTTATTAAAAAGACAACCACGAATTTTCAACGTTGTATAATTATAAGTTGTATAATTACATTTAAGTTTCTCTATATAATACTATAATTCAGAATTCCTTTATTCAATTCTGATTTATTATTATTTCTTTGCTACGTAATGAAATTTCTTTAACATAATTATATACTTACAAATGTCATTAACTATTAATGTATTGTCTAGTGCAACATGTATAGTGAGGGAGCTCCATTCGTCGTACACAATTAATTTTCTGAAAAAAGAAAATAAAGATACTGAAAGATTAAATTATTCATAAAAATTTATAAAAGGTTTACTCGCAATGCTAATGATATGTACTTTAATACTTGTGCAATCGTATTAGGACCAAACCATTGTCCAACTTCCTTCCCTTCGGATGCACCCATCAACGCAATTTGATGAATAGAAAAAGCGGCAGCTCTTTTGTCCTCAAAACGCCTTAAAATCTTCAGATACGTGCTATTTTTTGTTTCTGGCATCCACTGCCATTCTTTACCTATATCATAAGTAAAATGCTATAAAATAATTTGCTGATAATTTTTGAATAGTTAGATAATACATCCCATTATTAACAATTAAAAAATTAATAAAAAAATCTATTATATATTATTTGTTGGAATTATTAAAATCTCATACCTAAGTGTAATGTAATTAAAGCTTGGGCAAGAACCATTTGCCCACATCTCAGCATACAGCCCCAACCTTTATCAGACGTGAATGTGGAACTGCAGCCACCAATGGGAACAAAGCCTTTGCGATAGGTAAACCATATTTTGGATCGAATATCTCTACGTATTGCATCCAGCTCTAAAATTCAACATCTTATAATTTATTTCATTACATATTGTACTTTGATTTGTACCTTTGATTTATTACCTTTTATAGCATTGTACTTTCTGCCAAGTATCCAAACTGGTTCATCCGTTTGCGGTATGTCTTCCGCCTCATCGGGAATAGTTTGTGTAAATAAACTGTCCATTACTACTATTCTAATAGGTAGTATCTGTAAAATAAAGCAAAATACACACACACATGTTATAATTATTATTTTATTGTTATACATTTTATTCTACCTCTTTGACTTTAATTATTTTAATTTTTTTTATTAAAAAATATTCTTCTATTAATAAATACAAACTTTAGTATTTTCCTACTTATTTAATATTCTTTTCAGAATATTTTCTTTTTTAATAAAATATTTTATTTTTTACTTAATATGTAAATAAAATATGTTTAGAAAAAATAATTATTATAAAAAGTGCAATAAGGCATAAAAAAGATAAATATTGAATACTGACAAACAGACTTATTTGAAGATTAAACAATCAATTGTCATTGTCAAAACATTTTGTGAATTTACGTAAAGTAAAAACACCATGTAATTATGGTGCATCCAGATGATTAATAATACAAAATATAATATTTATTCGGTAATTAATTACTCATTAATTATATTTATTTAGAAAAGATGCTTATATAAAATTACCTTACAATAAGCAGCACAAAAAAAGTAAGGTTAGGTTAGATTAGAACTTTAATCGTACATACCTTCAACACACCGAGAAACATTGGTCATCGCCTCTGAGTTGCTCTTATGCGTAATAAGATTAGACGTGCCATTCGAGAAATCGAGAAATATCGCGAAATTGATGACAAAACACAAGTTCTACATCTGTCAATAAGGTGAAGATCGAGTTTGGTAACGCTGCTTAAAAATCCCCATTCGAGTTTCTCATTTAATTGGACGATACGGAAACAACGATTTTCTATCACAAAGGCCGCAATTGTAAGCAAAAATTAGAGCGTAAACCCAAGACAAATTTTCGTTTTTTCTTCTCGAATTGGTACAGATCAGTCCTGATTCGAACCTCTACCTGATCTTAAGGGTCGACAGCAGCGATGTCAGTTTTCCCACGAGAGCTCCATACGCACACAAGACCCGCTTACGTCACTCGTCCGTGTGCACTCAGCATTCGACTTGTAGAAGCGAGCGGACATATGTTTGCGTCTCCTTTCCACTAAGCTAGCAGCGAGCCAGCAACGAGACAATATTGCTCGTTTCTTGGCTGCCAAAACTTGACCAAGACTTTCCTTCGATTCGTAAGGGCGGTATTCATAGTCTGTTCTTATATTTAAAATCGTCTTAAGCACGGACTTATATTCGCTTTCTTCGTCACACATAAATTGTGTCTGACGAAGAGAGCGAATATAAGTCCGTGCTTAAGACGATCTTGAATATAAGAATGAACTATGAATACCGGCCTAATTGTGGCATTCGATTACATCTAGCAAGTATTACATGCCTGTAAAATTTCGAAGGAATGAAAATCGAAGGAGGGTTGGATACTAAAGTTCAACCAATAAATTTTTCTTGTCAATTCGTATAATTATTCGTCATAATTCGTTACAAATTCATATAATAGTTAAAGGCCATCATCACACACAAAATGACATAACTGCATATGCATAGCATAAGACCGTCTCGACCAATGAGCATGCTATAGGAACGTTCCACTTGGCAATCGCAACGCTTGTGGAATCATTTTATCATTGGGCTTGTTCGTTTTAGCTGCACTGGGGCAGCTCTGGGTCTGCTCTAAGCAAGATAATACAGGACAAACTATTTATCTGTCCTGTATTATCCTGTGTAGAGCGGACCCAGAGCAGCCCCAGTGTAGCTAAAACAAACAAGCCCTTTGTTTTTCATCGAAAGTTAAAGAAAGATAGATAATGTTCGCGAGTGTTGCGATCACCAAAGGTACGTTCCACTTGGCGATCGCAACGCTTGTGGAATCATTTTATCTTTGTTTTTCATCGAAAGTTAAAAAAGATAGATAATGTTCACGAGCGTTGCGATCACCAAGTGGAACTCAGCCCAAGTGGAACTCAGCCTATGTAAATCAATATGGCACCTTTATATTAGATGTTCATTGGTCGAGACGGTCTTATGCTATGCATATGCAGTTATGTCATTTTGTGTGTGATGGCCTTAATAGTTAACAATTAATATAATTGTTAATAGTTAAAAGTTAATATGACAGTCACAATTTTATGCTCCTTTAGTCGCCTTTTGTGCCTTTCCGGCCACCTCGTGTCCCTCCGGCCGCCTCTGCTAACATGGCCTCTCTTCTTTGCCCTATGGTCTTCATTTGTTCCATCATCTTTGTTAACAGCTTGCCAAGATCATCGATCACGAGTTTTTTCTCCTCTCCTTTTCCGTTGCCTTGTAAACGAATTAATATGTTGTCTATCTGTCCTACCATCTTTTTTAACTTGATATAATCGGGATTTTTCTTCTTTTCTTTGCCCTGTAGATAAGTTAATTTGTTGTGCATAACTTTCATATTCTCTTGTAACTTGATGATATAATAGGGCGCGAGAGTTTCCTCTTCTTTTTTTTCTAAAAAATAAACACATTAACAAATTAATAATATTTTTAATATAATTATACATATGAATTAATCATTCAATTAGAATAAAGAAAAGAAATAATGTACCATTATTACTGGCGCCTTGTTCCGGCTGCTCCTCGGTGGGTTCTGTGATGGTTGATGGCAAAAAATGTAACCGTTGCAGCATTTTTTTTATTTCTGTATTTTGCATAACAATTTCCTGTATCCGGTTCTGCATGCTTTCTTCGGCAATTAAAACTATATACTTTTCGCTCCGTCCGTCAAATTTTCCTCTGCGAAAATTAATACATATTTATAAAATTATATATGTATAAAAAAGAAGAAACTAAAAATTAAATATTTTTCTAACAGTTTGCTAATAAATAATAATAAATTAACGTGAAAAACGATACAAAGCTACAAGCTACGACTAAATATAATATGTCAATTTTTCTTATATTTACAAAAGTGTCTTTGAGAATACAAATATTAACATTTCGGTCGATTGTTCAATCGTTCTTAATATATATTAAATTAAAAAATTTTTAATAATTTTAATATTTAAAATACATTAAATTCAAAATTTTAACCGCAAAAGATTGTCAACACTTGCGATGTCAATAAGCACAGATAACTTTAAATCTTTGTTATAATGTAACATCACTCCAACAATTGCTAATCTCGCTTTATTTTTATGTCCGAAATTTTTCAAGTAATAGCTTTCTAAAAAAATAAACATTGAATGTTTTGCAGTTAAAACTTTTAACTTTATGCATTTTAAACATCAAAATTGCTGATTCTTTTAATGTAGCGTATATTGATCGAATAACTGACCGAAACGTTTACATTCTTAAAGATAATTTTGTAAATATGAGAAATATTAACACATATTATTTCATTTAAAATCGAAAAAGCTTTATACAATTTATAAATAAAATAATTAAATTTATTACTTACGGTTTATATTTCGGAGTATCGTTCTAAATAAAATCGGCAAGCAAATTTTTCTTAACACAATTTATGATTGTAATCACGTTAAAACAAGAAACTGATTTGTACGTTGAGGCACACACACGGCCTTTATAAATACTGGCCAGGATGAACGTACACAATAACAGAATTGTGTATGTATGTTTGACACAACGCTCTCTGTAAGTGATTCTTTTAATAGTGAGTGTAATTTTTATCTTTTAAATGAAGTGACATTTCTGTCAGTACTTACGTGCAGGCCACATCGGTGTTATATTTTGCTGCAGAAAACGACTTAGTTTAATTAATTAAACGAGTAATTAATTAATTAAACAATTAATAATAATTAATTAATAATAATTAATAAATAATTAATTAATTAAACGAAAAAGTAGGAAATACGTCTTAATTTAATTAATTAAATGACTTGTGCCTGTTTCTACTGATACAGTTTAAAAAGTTAATCCTTAGTAACATTCGGTTATTTTAATTTAATTTGAATATTGGTTTCTACCAATTGTTTGACGACGTTTCATACATTGAACTATATACATATTGGAATGGGCACTGAATCGCTTATTGCGAGCCGAGAGAGAACTATATGTCGTGTATTGACGTCCTTTTTCGTACAGTCAAGTTCGAAACACGTGACGTCGCGGGTTCGGTTGCTGGGAAAATTGGCATGCCTGTACTACGCATGTGTGATAACTTAACCTTCTTGAGAATGTTTAGTTCAATCTAATGTGATCTGATCTAATTTAATTTTTATTGTCTATTAGACACTAATCAGCAGTGATTAGTAAAATTGGTTATTGATTATATTTATCTGTTATTGACAAACATGCCTCGATTGTTTTTACACCCTTCGTCTGGAACAGGAGTTGTTACGCGCTTCCAAAAGGCAATACGGCTGGCTCGTTATGGCTGTACCAACAGACCATTTTATCATATTGTCGTAATAGATGTAAGTCGAGTTGATTTTTTTCGAGAAATCTAGAAGAAAGAGTTATAGATTGTTTAATTTTACATTTTAATAATTTTCATCAAATATAATAAAGCACACATGCAATGTACCACTGTAAAAATATTATATATTTTTTTTATTTTAGAATTTATTGGGATTAGATACTAATTTTAAATTAAAATATGCAAAATTTTGGGAAAAACATGCATACAAATTTACATATAAAGTCTAGAGAGTTAAAATTAAGTTTTATTTTTTTGCAATAAAAATGGTATAAGTAATTGTATCACTTTTATCAATAATTTTTACAAACAAGCAATATATTTCCATACAAAAGAAAATGTAAAATATTTACAACTATTTAGATACTTTATTATTGCCTTACTAACTTATGTTGAATATTATGTTGAATTATGTTGAATACTGCCAAATATCAGAGAAAAATAAAAGGAATGAAGCAGTAGGTATTTAGCCAATAAATTAATTGGTTTGTTCAATTTTTTTAGGTAAAAAAACATCAAAGGGGGTCACCGGTGGAACAAGTTGGCACTTATGATCCTATTCCAAATGCAAACAATGAGAAACTAATATCCTTTAATTATGAAAGAATACAATATTGGATTGCCAAAGGAGCACAAATATCCACACCTATTGCAGAATTACTAGGACTAGCTGGATACTTGCCTGTTCACCCAAGATCATACATGAAAGCATGGAGAAATCGCAGAAAGGAAAAAGCGATTGCAGAAAATGTGTCACAAGAGCAAACAACAGCATCTGAAAGTTAAGATGTATCTTTTGTGTGGCAAACATTTGTGCTTTGTAAATATTTTGCAGTTTATCAATAAAATTATTATATTGTTTAAATAGAGATATTTGAAAAATGTATGTCGTAATGGGTTTTTTTAAGTAAAAAGACAAACATTTTCAAAATTAAACAAAGTGTGAATGTTTGATAAAACCTTTTCATTTTTATAATTTGATTTATATTTGTCATTTTTGCTGAAGTTAATATTAAAACGAATCTTACAATGAGTAAAAAAGTCAATTTTTTATTTCATTCTATGTAGCGCCAAGTTTTATTTCAGTTTTCATATTTCAAGATATATTGCTCCAACAAAATTTAATATAAAAATTTTTGAATTTATTGAATATGACAATTTATGTTCCAATACAATTTTTCAGCTCTGCTTCACAATTGTGTAAGTTCTGTTATTGCAGGAAAGCATTATATCACTGCACTGGACTGTGTTCCTTGTTAAAAAGGGACATCCATAAAGTTGCTAGATTCATCGATAAATCACGCTTGCAAATTGTTACAGAATTATTGCATGTTTCCCTAACACTTTTAAATTTGTTTTAGAATAAATAGCTCTGTCTTTTTAATTAAATTAAAAAAAAAAAACACTCCGTTATGACATGTAAATCGATTTTTGACACAATTTTTGCTATATCTTATTCTACGTCTCGAAATAAATTGTTCAATCAGTTGCTCGACGTATGTTGACAATTATTTAAATATTGCCGTAACAATGTTTTATGTAGATTAGAATACAATGTTTGAAAAAAAAAAATTCCCCAGGTGAGGCTCGAACTCACAACCCCGGCATTGCTCACAAACACTGTCTTATAAGTACCGTGCGCTAACCGATTGCGCCACTGGGGATTTGTGTTTTCGCTTTTCTTATTACAGTAGAACCTATAATGTATGATATACACACACACATGCGAGCGCATGTGTAACATTTTTTTTTATTTTTGAAATACAAAATTTATATCTTAACTTTTAAGCTAAAAATTTTTTAAACTTCTTGAAAAAGAATTTTCATATAAAATCTATTTCTCGAATATCTACTTTTTATATTGAGTTTGCAATTTAAAATTTCTAATTTCTTACTACAGACTTGAATTTAGTGTCTTCGGAAAAAGCTCAAATATACAATCTTTATATAAATTTAATTATTTCTTCATAAAAATTGTTTTGTAATAATACATAGTAATAAAATTTTTATTTCTTGATAGTTAAAGTTAATTGTGAATATTAAAAAATCAATATAAAATTTATTTAATTATATAAAGCTGTTTAAAAAACGAAATAAAGTTAAGAAATCTAAATTGATTCTTCTTTCATTAGAGAATATAGATTAGAAAATAAATTAATTCCTTAATTGTCAAGTTTCTTCTAATAACACATTTATATGAAAGGGTAAGAGTCTTCTGCATTTTAATTCATATAAAAACATATAAAATATTTATTGTAATATTCACACTTAAAAATTTCGTATTTACTTAAATTCTACATAAATTAATTGCTATATTGATATTCTTATAAATATTTAATACAAAAAATTATTTTTACAATGTACCTTTTGTGCTTTTAGCATAAGTATCAACGGCTGTGCATAGTTTATCCCACAGTTTTATAAGACTGTTTTTTGTGAAGGTAATTTCGCAAAAGTCTTTCAATAAAGAAGAATTCTGTTCAGAAAATTCTATTCCTAAATTAATAATTAAATATTATACTTTACTACTCCAGTCTTCTGTATATTTAATACATATAATTAATTTATTTACCTATATTCGTAGGATTTACCGTGAAATAGTGTTCAATCTGCCACGTTAGTTCTAAGAATTTTAGCATCCAATGAAATATCACATAGTTTTTCTTTGTATCCACAGGTGAATGTACATGCACTAGCATTCCTCCATCATCCTCATTATGCTCAATGCTTGCATATCTCTTCGATTCTAAACTATGTAGAATTTTAGATCTAAGAATATTATTTTCATTATAACCAGAAAGTGCTGAAAAGAAAAGTAGCTTATTATTATATCTTACACGTAACATAAAATTATTGTAATATTGTATAAATGTTCACCAGACATAAGAACAGAAAAGTTCTTCCTATTTGTAATCTGTTGACACCAGGGAGATATTTCAAGCATGTAACAATTGTTGATATCAGTGAAATAACACATTATATTGTCAATCTTGAAATTACTGGTATTCTGAAAAAGAAGACAAAGGTTAATTGTAGATCTTTGAATTTTACAATCTATTCTAAATAGAGTATATTTCATTATTATTAACTATATCATACATATTTTGTTTCTTTCATTATTTATATGATAATAAAATTTGTAAAGCTTTTTCAATAAAAGAATTTAATCCTATACCTTGAAATCTACTTTCAATTCCAAGTTGAAAGTGATTGTTCTCGTTACCACTGTAGCTTTATACATATAAATATTATCGTGAAGCCAGTCTTTACTGACATCCTCAAATGTTATTCCAGTTATGTGGCTTGCAGTTTTGCATTGCCTAACCTTAGAGTTGCTGGATAATTCCGTTGATGATTCTTGATTCTCATCATCAGAAGGTAGCGTACTACAATCATACAAAAAATAAAATAATAAAATCGCAGAATTGAAGAATTTACACATGAAAATTAATTAACAATCACATAATTACACAGTGAAATTACTAGAAGACTGATGCCTGTTTTCCTCATGACGCTTCAACGAATCCTTCAACTGATTCACCTTTTCTAAGAGTTCCTTCTTCAGTTGCCGCAATCGATTTATCTCCTCGTTTTCCATGCTGCAATCTCACTTATAACAAAATATTATTTTTCTGCTTATTTCTATTCTTGAATATTGTTATAAATTTGCACAAAACCCGACATCAATCACACCTGTCATTTATATTCTATTATATGTTCACAGATGTTTTCCATTTTATATCTTTGCGTTAAAAACTTTGAAATAGATTGCATTCGGGAAAATTGAATTAAAAACAGATAGCAACTTAGTTTTAACCATAAACGCTCAAAATCTAGTACAGAAATGGCAGAGAACTGCTGTACTGACGATGAATATCGCTGCACCTCGACGAAGAACAGCACCATCTGCCATCGCTTTTGCTAGCAAGAACACTTCAGTGTAGATACACTTCTTGCAATAGTACAAAAGTGCAGCGACAAAGAACAAACCTTAGTATAAACAAGAAAGGTTAACTGAACACAACACAACGGAAAATTGAGGGCATACTTTGTGTACATTAATAAATTCAATAGAGTTCTTCATAAGATTCAAATATTTAAAAAAAAAATGATAAGTTATAAAATATTTTACAAGTTTTTTAATATGTCCAAAAAGAATAGGTGGTCCCATGGTGTAATGGTTAGCACTCTGGACTTTGAATCCAGCGATCCGAGTTCAAATCTCGGTGGGACCTAAAAGTATCTGCTTTATTTTTGCCTATGCAAATTTATATTTTTGCAGAGATAAAATAAACGTACGTATAAAATGCAAAAATTTATGCTTGTAACATAAACGAGAGGATTTGATTGAGCTATTAACTTGGACCAATGCGTAAAGATCAATGTATAATTTTGTGAACAGATATTCATACATTTAAACTTATATACAAGAAATATATGATTATTCAACAATAAATCAACGGTCACTTATATACGAAATCGTCTATAAGAACCTGTAATCTGTACGTACAGAATCTATTGGTCATAAGATAAACTTACTCGGCCGCATTACTAGCTATTTGGTAAAGAATCCATTAGTTCAGCGTTAACTAAAATTCTACATTTGCTATTTCAAATACGTATGGCATCATTGTTACATACTAGTATCGTTGCATAAGCTTATGAAACTACCGATGCGTGCTGATTTCCCTCCGGGAACAATTCGAACAAGAAAATCTATAGTAGCATCTCTTCAACCTCTTCCGTGTTAAGAAATGAAAATGCATTATTATCCAAAATAATAATTATCAAATAATCATACACACGCTACTAACACTTAAGGAGTTAAAGCTTCTGCCTGTCACATTAAATTACGGTGCCAGAAATGGGAAATCTTTTTGTGGATACTGAAATAAATTAGTTTGCATACACAATTTATGCTCCATTATTAAATTAATAAAATATGCTGAAAACTCTTTCCAATACAGTATTCTACTTTAAATGAATATAAAGTATTTAAAAATTGGTCAACAAAATACTTCAAACAAAAGCTATAAGATTTGAAGAAAAAAAAAAAATAAATATTTATCTGATTTTCATGCAAAATGTTTCAAGTAACAAAAAAAAATTCAATCACATATGATTTTGAAAATACCTCATCAGCTACAAGAAAAGATTTGAATACTTGTTTAAAAATTTCAACACACATCCACACATGCTACACACAGCATACACGCACACATATATACACACACATATACAGTAGCAAAGATGTAAAAGAATGTCTAAGTATTATATTATGATTAACTCTTTGCGGTTCAAATTATTTTTGATGAATAAACTAATATTAAATATTTCATTTTTATTTCAACGCTATCAAAATAAATGTAACAATCCATTCTTATTATATAGAAAATGTTATGAAAGTTAGAAAAACGTAATTTGCTAATTGCAATCATATATTATTTAAATTATTCAAAGAAGTATGCGCAGGATCATCGAATCGACTTTGACGTAGGACCGCGAAGAGTCAAAAGTATATTTCCCACAGAACACACTAGCGGTGAAATGATTTAATTAGTGATCATTGCTGCTATTAATACGGCCGATCATCTTCACTAAAACACAATGGATTCTCTTTGTTTGCTGTGACTTCTCGTCATTCGTTCATCGAAAGTAGTCGACGATCTTAAAATCCGCAGTGGAATCACGACACGCTAACAATAAGATTTGCTTCCCCGCGCTTCCGCGTCGTTACATATGAAATTATTTACTTACGATATATGATATATGTGCAAGTTATCTGTGTATATCATGCACGGTAGTCATCGATCTAAGGAAATGAGAAGTTTGCGATTATGCATTTATATATCACGTATCGTTTTTATCATCTTGACCATATGTAGAGATAATTACAGATTTTTTTTTTTCTTAGATTAATATGTATAGTATCTAGCGGCACGACGTCGCTGTACATCGTAGAACTGAATGATATATGCGACAAATGGAAATATATTTCCGGTATATTCGGTTAATGGACCGATAAAAATGTTTTTTTTTTACTTGTTATATGTGTAAACTGAACGATAAATCTTTTGAAGGCATCGTACATTTATTTCGGTGAAACCTTTGTAAGGATTATCTATAGTACATACACATACTCATGTACACGCATACAGGCTGAAATATCGTAAAGTCGAAATTAGATCAAATTACACAACAAATGCGAATCGATCCGAATGGAGACAGGTAATATGCCGATAAATACACTGACCTGCAAAATTAGACATATTTTGGTTTTGTCTAGGAAAAAGAGTGAATTTTTCATAGTTCATGCATTCGAATCCAGCATTAAAAAGTACGTGTTATATGAGAATTTTTAGGAAACCAGAGAAAAGTATATTAAAAATGACGATATTAGTTATCGTTTCTTAAATTAATCATAAATAAACCGGTCCTTAAAAACTTTTTTAAAATTAATATTTTATTAAAATCAAATTATAACAAATAGTACAGAAAAGTAAAAGGAGAGGAAAGGCCATAATATTTGAGAAAGAGGTGAAAAGAGAGTAGGTGAGATAAAGTGGAATGGCAGCGTATATGGAAGAATTAGATTAGAACAGGAAGTAAGATGGATCGCTAGCGTGTAAATTAAATATCGAAGTCAGTTTGTAAAATAGTCTACAGATAAATGGAGATGTAGGCAAGCGAAGATCACTGTGACTTTGAAAAAAAAAATTATTAACAAATAAATACACACATACATACTGCAGCGCAGGTGAAAGTAAAAAAAAAATTTCTTGCGAATCAATACTGATATAAAAAAAATTGCTATTTTTAATACAATACTTGTTTCCTTGGATTCGCCCAAAATTTTGATGCAATACATACTTTTTTTTTATGCTGGATTCGGATTTAGCGCGCGTGAAAAACCTACGGAAAACCACCCTTCCTTTCCCGAACCGTAGACCCATGCAGGGCAGTGATATTGATACAAGTTCTGTTTTGCACCGGTATTATATTATTGATATCTTACGGTAGCATACGTCTTCGCACACAGTGTGTGTGCACTGTCTTATAAAACTAAACAATTGTACGACGTGATAAACTTACATAACGAGAATTCTATCGCGTTTTAATGTATCGTTTTTAATCGTAATATATACATCATATGAAATATAACATTGTTATCGAAAATTATACGATAATTACAACGTAGTCAAGATAGACATGATTCCTCGTATTTGGTTTTCTTTTTTTCAAGTTCTATTAAATGTATAGAGCCCTTCTCGTCAAGCGTAGACACGCTCCGTCTCTCTCTCTCTCTCTCTCTTTCTCTCTCTCTCTGAACACCATAATTCTTTGGAACGTTCTAAAACCGAAGGCTTTTGAATTAGACGGCATTGTCGCGGACATCGTATTTTCACTTGTGTGTGGACAATGTGTGCTTATTTTTTTTTCTTTTTTTTCTCATTACACAAAAAAAAAAAACTAATCAACAGCTGATGAAAGTGACATAGATTTGCCTCTTCTTGACGAGTGACTGAGCGATCAGTGACTATCGATTGAAATCTCATAATATCCTTTTCGATTATATAGGCGTTTACATATTGATAACGATGCATTTAATGATATTGCATTACCGTGCTTTTTAATCGAATAACTTTTACAACATGAACGTCTTATATATTATGTTTTTATATTATGCTTTATTATCATTCGTATATATTTATAGTCGTAACTTAAAGCGGTCGCACATAACGCACTCACCAGCAGCATTTTTTCAAGTGGCAAACGTCAAACAAAACACATAACGTAAACATAGATATTATCGCTGCTTGCGAGAAATAGCAAAACGAAAAAAAAAAAAAATATATATTTTAAAAGAAAATAAATCGACTAATTTTGCGTACTTTTGAAAAAAATATGAAACTCTTTAACAAGAATCCAAAAGGCAAACATATAAACGCGATAAAAATTCAACGAATATTTATTATAAAATCTAATAGAAATGTTCTTAATAAATGTCCTTAGTTGCTTTTCTACGTGATCATGTCAAGGTGTTGTCTCGCTTAAACGTTTTGTATGCCGACTTCGACTCTTTCGCAGTGACTTTATTTTTCGTTTTCTAAACTTTCTTTTAAATTTAGAATCTTCTCAGACCTTTCTCCCAAAAAACAAGAAATTAATATTTCGATAAAAATAAACTTCCCATGAAATTCTCAGCATCATCGCTGCTGCGAAGTTCGGTCTTCCGTTATCATGCAGTAAACAGTGTTTAGCATCTCTCGTTGCTAGTTTTGAAATGCACGATCGAGTTTTTTCAGTGCTTCGCAATGTGACACACGCGCAAAACATTTGACCAGCGAAAAACTTAACAAATAAGTGGAAAAATAAAGTCGTTGCGCTGAACACGGAGGCGAAAAGTGTCATCGACGTGCAGAAATTCGAGCGAAACAAAATGCCTCGACGCAGCAATAACGTGGAAAAAAAAAACAACCAACTGTACATAATAAGATTATCTCTACTCGATTTCGTAACAAATATATTTTTTTCCATTTTCATTGTGTTTGCATCTTCACTTTCTGGACCAACCCGCATTTTAACCGAAAGCACTGTCCGTACTGACGTCCGTAATAACTTTTCTTTTTTTTTGTTTTTTGTTTTTTTGAAGGGAGTACTCTTATATCTGTATCCGACATTATTGTCAATCTGATAACTTGCATCTACGCTTTCGCTTCTACATGTGATGCTAATGCGTGACAGCGCAAGAAGCTTTTACACAATACCATTACTTACAAGATGCGCAAGGACTTGTCATGCAACTTAACGAGTTTACGTTGATACCAATGTGAAAGAAACAGCAGTATCGACCGTTCGAAGCTCTCAAACGTTTCCCATTTTCCCTTGCTTGCTCAGTTCGAGGGCGAGCGCTAGCTCGGCGTCCTCCCGTTCCTTACGCTTCAGTCTCTCCTCCTCCGCTCTTATACTCTGCCTCTCCGCCCAGGCTAGCTGCTCCTCCTCCGACAGATTAGCCACGCTGTTGCCGTTCCAGATCTTGCCGAAATCGTTCGCGAGCTTCCCGTCGTTACGGATATTCGATTTTGCGGTGTGCACTGCGTTCGATTCATGCCTCGCCACGGTCTTCGCGTTCTTCGTCGAAAACGCTTCGTCGAGATCGACGGTTTTCGTCTTCACGTTGGCGAACGCCCGGGAAAAGTCGATCTCGTTGCTTCTGACATTTCTGTTATCAGCGGAGAACGCTTTTCCAAAATCAACGTCGAACTTGTTGTTGTTATTGTTATTGTTGTTGTTCGCGCTGTTCTTCTCGAGCTTCGTTTTGGCGAGCGGAAAGGTGTTGACGAAATCGCTGTCGAAGGCCTTGGCCGAAACGTTGTTCTTATCCGAGAATGCGGAAATCGTACCGAAGCTGAACGGGTCCGTCGTCGTCTTCTCCGTCCCGCCGCCGCTGTCGCCGCTCTTGTTCGCGTTCGAGTCCTCCGTCTCGTCGGCGAATGGGTCCGCTATATTGAACGGGTCTTCGTAACGATAGTCCCGGAACGGGTCCTCCGTAAAGTCCGACAGCTTCGGCTGCGTCGGCGCTACATGGGCTCTACTTGTCGGTCTCGCTGGAGCCGTTCGATTGGGCGTCGGCTCGGTCGGCTGAAGCAGGTTTTTGTCACTGGTCAAGTTTTGTTTTACTGAAACGGTACAGGAGAAATAACGCGGATACCGTCGACTGTCGTCTGGCTCTTGCTGGCTGGTTTTAGGCTGCTACTATTCGTCACTACGCCGGAAAGCTATGAAAGTGCTGTGATTTTGAGCGCAGCATTCGAGTCGCGTGTTGCGCATGAGGCTGTTAGCAATGCGAGAGACTTTTTCGCTGGTTTATCAATTGAGAATTTATTGATTGTACAATAATAGCTAAACGTGGTTGCAATTTGAAATATATTTCTTATTTCATATTTAAGATTACAGAGAGAGTTACAAACTAATATTAATATTTAATGCATTTTATTGAAGATATATCTCAAATATTTGTAATTAATGTATATTTTCTTTAATAGATGATAACAAAAAATAGAAAACTTTTATAGACGCAACGTTTTTTGAAATCAATTGTAAGAAACGATATAATGAACAATTGCTAAATCATGAATGCCAGAATAAATTGCAATAATGTAACTTTTTGCATAATTAAAATCGATTTTGTTTGATCTTAATATGAAAAAGTAAGAAGTACATTGTTTTTAAATTTAAACGTGTTTTGATTGTATAAACAATACATCCTTAACGCGACTCGAATGGCTTGCATATAAACTAAGATCAATAAGAAATAAATTAATAACGCAAAATAAACTTGAAAAATATCCTAGAAAAAAAGGCAATGAACAAATTAATCTGCGGACAGCATGCTCCAGAAGGCAGCTCAATGACAGGCAAATTCAAAATCGTGCAGCTTCTACCTAAATATAAAACATAAGATAAAATGTATAGTACGTTGATAAATGTGTACAAGAAAATTAATTCGCAACATTAAAAAATTGCATTTATCGATGCTCAATTGCGCTATGATATTAATATTGACTGCAGTCGTTATTATTTTCACCGTTCAGTTGCGTTTACAAATTTGTCCATGTAAAGAAATTCAAATTTTGCTCAAAACGTACAAAGTTACAGAAATCTTATGTGAAGACTCCTTCACTTATTAAAAATATTTTTGTTAAAATTAGCACAAACGCTGAATATATTTCAAGAACAAATATTGTGTATGTATATACAAATAGTTAATTAAAAATCATCAAAAATTTTCACTTTTGAACGCACTTTCTTGATCTAGGAATATAATGGAATACTATTGTGAACGTTTATGTTGGATAATTTGTGATACACTATTCTTTAATATTTTTATAATCAAGTTATCCCTATCGAAAGTGCATATTTTTATATCATATCGCTTTATAGCTATCTTATAATAAAGAATTATGTCCTTGTTTCATTGGTTGCACCGTTTAATTTTCCACTGTTTAATTTTCTGTTCTGAATCAGTTGGTCGTTTAAATTATGTCAAGTTTAAAGCGTCAATCGATAAAACTGTCCAAAATAGATTCACATCAGACGTATTTTTTTATGGAATTCCTTCAATTGATTATATAACACATTATCGAAATACTAAACATAAATAATAAAATTCTAAAAATAATAAAATTCAAATAAAAATGCTTTACAAAAAGAAAATGCCATGTGCTGTAAAATAATTATTCAGAACAGTATGTTCGATTAAAAAAAATAGTATAAAAAAAAGAAATTGTGCGAAATCTCTGCGTCGGGGGGGGGGGGGGGAGGCGATAAACGCTATCGTATACATACCTTGGAATCGAAATTAGCGAAATCAGCAAATCCGGAAGATGTAAAACTATTATTATTATCGATGGTCGCTTGAGAGCCAAACGGATCCGAGTTTGCGTTCGTAAACGGATCCGGAGTAGGCGAGGGCGTCGGCGGAGCCGGTGCTGCTCTCAGTGGACCTGTAGGACCTGTAGGACCTTGACTCGGTCGCGGCGGAGCCGGTCGTGGCGGTGGTTGTTTCGCCTTCTTCGGCGGAAGAGCAGGACTAGGACTCTCGGGACGTGGCGGAGCGTGAAGATTCGCGAAGGGATCGTCCCCGAACGGATCCTTCGTGTTCTTAACAAAGCAAATATCGTATTAGCGTTTTGTTTACTCTTATCTTGGGAGAAAAATTCCCCAATTTTCTAGTTTATATCCGAGTTTTCATAGAAAACTTTGAAAAATAAAAAATAAACTTCATTCGTGCTTCAAAAATGCTGAAATAAGTCGAAAGTTAATTCTACTTTCTCCTTTCAGACCGCTCGTAAAATAAAAAAAGAATCTTAAGACAGATAATTTTACTAAAAATAGAATGATCTTGATTCTTTCAGACAAAAAAAATTTGGTGAAATTTTAGGTTTTCCGGATTCTCCAATTAGACACTGTATTAATGTCTCGATAACGCAGAAGAGCCCTATTGCCACTTGTGCTGTGATTTTTGTCACACGCTTTAAAGAGCTCGTTTGTAAATGGTAAAATTTTTACGTACCGATGTTGCAGTCGTAAGATTTTTGTTCTCAGCTTGTTTCCCGTTACCGAACGGGTCGAAAGGATCTTGCTTCACTGTTGCACCGGCGTTGTCAAATGCAGTGAAAGGATCTGCTGCGAAGCTACCCTGTGTTCATTATTTTATTCGTTAATAATCATGTTTACTGGATGAGAAATTGGAAAAAATGTTAAGCGAGTATATCAATTGAAGAGCACTCACATTAGACATTTGTGTGGAGAATGCGCTTCCGAACGGATCGGACGTCGGTGAGCTAAATGCTTCTTTGGCTTTACTCGTTGCAAAAGGATCTTGTTCTCCAAATCCATCCATGACAGCTGCGCCGGAAGTGTCAGCTTGTGTCTCCTGTGCTTCGTCTGTATTCTTCGTTGTTTCATACCTATTTATTTCGCATATTTGCAAAATTACTATTATCATATGTAAAGATTTTTTTCTTCAAAAGAAAATTCCGAGAAAGAAAAAACAAAAAAACGCACAACTACCAAGGTAGATTGCGCTCTTAAGCGGAAACGTAATACGTACTCTAAATCTTCAATTTCGGGCGCAAATCGTAGACTAGTATCAGGTACAAGATTGACATCGCCCGCGGCGAGCGCGGAATCGTAAAGCGCGATAGCGTCGCTCATTTGTCGCTGTTGTTCCTGCAGATGAGTGATCTTCGCTTTTGCCTGGGAGATCTCCAACTGAGTGTCCTGCAATTTTTTCGTCAGCTCGTTCAATTGATCCCTGTTTTTATTCTGCTGCTGCTCCAGCTGCTGCTCTTCCTGCCGCAACCCCTCGAGTTCCTGTCTTTTCAGGCTCAGCTCCTCCTCCTGACCGCGCAACACCGACTCCTGTTCCTCGGCTTGCTGGCGCAGTTTGTCAACCTTAGAAAAACAAAATTTATTCCCGGTGAAAAATCCTTTTCTCGCTGTAAATTATTATAATAATAAGATTGATGTATATTTAATCGATACTTTTTCATCATTTATGTTACACTTTTATGATGGAGATCGTTGAAACGTGAAAATGCGTGTTAATGTTATGTTATTTAATTCCAATGTAGTTTCGTATAATAAAAGAAGGGAAAAAAGGAAAGAGAAAAGAGAGATAAAAGGAGAGGTGTATATGTAATTATGTAAAACGATTCAATCATGCCAGCGAAGCACTAATAATGCATTAGCGTTATTTGTGTCCACGTTTTGCACTATAAAAATACAACTTTGTATGTGGTAGAGCTTTTTGTATATTTCGAAAAATATATATACAGGGTATCCTATTTTTAATGAGAACTTGAAATATCTTGAAACTGGAAAGAGCTACAAAAGAATATTTCAGACAAAAATTGTAAGATTTTTAAACGAAAAAAGGGATAATATCAGTTTAATAATCTTGGGTTGATCACACAAGATCAATTTGAATTATACACAAAAACTCCCAAATCTTATAGATTTTTGTAATATCATATTTTAATAATATAATGCAAAATTTCGGAAAGATGAAAAAAGATTTAATTATGTCGTCTTGGCGTAAGCTATTTCTTATTAAAAATGGAACTCCCTGCATGATATATAATGTAAAGAAAGTTACACAAAAAAAGAAAAAAAATGTATATCCGAATAGGTTTATTTTCTACCGCGACAGACCACATATCCGACATAAGTTTAATGTGCAAAAACAGTGTTGCTCCACCGTAAGCGATACTGTGATTCTTTTATGTACCTTCTTTAGTTCCTCCTGAATCTTCTCTTCGACTTCACTCAAATCTTTATCTACCTCAGCCTTCTACAAGCCAAACATAATAAAACAAAATAATGAAAAAAAATCAAAAAACATAGAAAAAATAAATAAAATAAATTAGTAAACTGCGCGCTGCTTCCTATTTCCTTCTCTCTTCGAGATGCACGGCTTCTTATTAATAATGAATGTGTAAAATGCACTTTCGCACTGCTATTATTTCTATTTAGTATGTAAAGCGATAAGCTCGATCCACGAGTTGAAGTGATGAGTAAAGAAACAGTACAAAAGAAATCGAATTAACCCTTTGAAGGGCACGTTTTTACCATTTAATCAATTTTCTGTCTTTGCTACTTGTACGTTTCTCGAATCACTAGATACGAATCTAATGTTAGATTAAAAAATTCCAAAGATAATTGCAACATGATAATTTCAAAATTTATATAGTTAAATGTGATTAAAATCGCACTAAAATAAATATGTGCATCAGCAAAATCTAATTACAATTCTGATATGTTTGAAAAATTCAAATCAACAGATTCAATACACGTATACGTTGCGGTAAAAATTAAATAAATAAGAAACAAACTTAAGAACAACAAAAGTTTCGTTTTAAAGCCAAATCATACGTGTGTATCGGTATTCTCAGAAAATAAAGAAAATAAAAATAAACATAATCACTATTTCTGGCTTCTACAGATATTAAGCAGTATGATCTGCGTCACGGTTCATGTCATATCAAAATACGCCGGTATGCGCAAAGTGCAATGTGCTCTCTATCTCTTTATCATCGCTTTTTTTTCGGATTTATCAAATGCGGAAAAAAAATCGTTACATCATTTTACAAGAACGATGACACAAGCAACAACTGTACGCGCCTAGCGTGTAGTTGTGCCACTAAAAAGCAGTGCCGCGCACATTCAGAAGCAAGCCATTGATGAATACGCAATCAAACCTCTGTTTACCTGTGCCTTCAGATCATTTAATCTCTTCTGCGCCTCACCCTTTTGGTTTCCGAGTTGCTTCAAGGTTGCAGCGAGCGTGTCCAGTTCGCTCTGAAGACTCTTGATCTCGCCGTTTTTTATCTTGATGTCGGCTTCCTTCTGCGCTATATCCTGCTCCATGCTTTGCCTTTCGCGCACAAGCTCCGCTATATCCTTACTTATCATATCCAACTCTGGATTCGAATAGCCTGATATGTTATTGTTTTCCTGTAACACGTTCGAAGTGTTAGTATTTAAATAAAATATCCTGTACTTTACTTTAGAGTATCATTTTTATTTTAAATTAGATATTAATTAAAGATAATAGAGATATTAAAAATAAATTTCTCACAAGTTAAGAAATAGATACACTTTTTCACGAAAAATGATTTCTATGAAAAGAATTAAATTGTTGACAATTTAAATGTGATAGATAACTTGAAGTTCAGAATATTTTATATTTCTGCGCTTTATAAGAATAATATTCTCTTAAATTTCAAAGTTTCAATATTAAATTCGACAGATTTTAAAAATCCTTAGAAATCAAATACAAAACTGAAATCATTTTTAAAATATTTATCTCAAGTCATGTTAAACTCAAAAATTTTGACCAAAGATTACAATTTAACGATCCCAGAAACTTTCGGACACCGTGTTTTGTGAAAATCCTATTGATAAAAAATATATATATTTAATATTGCTTAGTTGCACAAATATGCATTGAAAAAACAAATACGAAACGTCGAGATTGATATTTTATTTCCTACTGATCGCTGTAAATAACTTCAAAATGGCTTTGTACAACGTCCATAAAAATGTACGTATTGCCAAAGCAATGCACTCTCAGTTTCACTACGATTAAACTTCTTGCGTAAACTGAAGAATTGCGAAGAGAGGTTTAATAAGACATTTAATGGCGAGCAATGTTAATGGATAAGTAATTCTAACTCGCTTTACTGTTTACAGATAATAAGATGCTTCTGAATGTTGACGACTACGAATATTCGCGAACTAACAAGACCTTGAGGCAACGACATAAACAACGTTGGCTCGATTATTATGAGTGTCTAAGAGAAACATATGTAGACAAACTAGAGAGGACCAATTATCCGAACGCACTCATAGCGCTGGAAGGAACGTCTGTAACGTGCGCAATAAATGAAGAAAATAGTTTTGAAGATTACAATAAAAAAAAAGCGCTTCATAAAGCGAAGATACAAACACGATGAAGAAAAAAATTACAGAGTCGAGTAGAAATGGTTTTCAAGCGTTATTCAAAAAAGTATTGTAATTAATACGTAGAAAAATAACTACATTTATATATTAAAAATGCTTCTGCTCAATTTTATATTTTTTACAACTTCTATCGCGTTTGTATCTTTACTTTCTGGACTGCCCTCGTGACGTCGTGATGAAATATGAATAAATCGATTTGCAGCTTGAAATGTGAAATATGCATTTCGCCGATGGAAATGCACGTAACCGATTTGATAGAGTGGTACTTCAATAGCAGCCATAAAAATGACATTGTCAAAAGCACAGTGCAAAGTACAGATCGCATTCTTAATTCACCGGACAATCAATTCATCATCATGTACAATCTCCAAGTACGATTCTGAAACGCACGCATACATCCTTTCGAACGAAAAAAATCTAGAACTATACCAAAGATTAAAAACGCTCTATCAAACATCCACCGTGTATTATATTCAATCGTGTCGATTGTATTTATTTGTCGCGCGCGCCTTTTTGCTGGAAAACAGCATACGCGACGTTCGGCACGCGTAAAGAATGATTTCCTTTCAGCCGGAGCAGGCGGGAGTGTATTGGTGTGAGATGAAAGACACCGTAGGATCAATTTATTATTTACATATCGATAGCGACTTCGACGCAGTGGACGTTTTACACTCGAACGCGTCGCGAGCAGCGTTGGTCGAGAGTGTGCCGGAGTACGAGCTAGAGATTTACACCACTTGGACAACGTGGAATCCGTGTTCCACGTGCAACGCGGTTGGCATCAGGCTTCGGTACGGATACTGCACCGTATCGTTCAACGAACGTGCATCGACAATGGATGAATCGCGATACACGAGAAGAGAAGGTGAATAGAAGTACGACGCTTGCCTTTCTGTAAGGCAGTCGTGTTGAATCGGAACGGGATTGATAATTATTCAGATCTTTACAATTACAATTTTTTACCGGTATTGTCACGCGACACCGTCTCAAGCTTCTCCTCCAATTAATTTCCAATTTTCAGCCGAAAAAAGTGAATGGAATCAGACGGATGAATCAACGACTCAGACGGCAGCGATAAATGAAAATCTGAGAGGCCGATTGAAGACAACACTGTTGTTATTCAGAAATAGATTGCCGTGCAAGTCCAGACTTATCCCGAAACAGATACGAATGATACCGATTATCAAGGACAGAAAAACCGAAGTTATGAAACGATACTGTAAGGTATTAAACAGCTTGATTATTCGTTGCAGCTATATTGAACGATATAAAATGATATAAGATTGACATTATTTGTGCGAGATAGAAAAAATGCCGGAAAAACATAGTATTCGAAGTGCGCGATGAGAGGGGCAATGTTTTGGAAAGTGCGAACAATAGTGCTGGCATATATTCAATGATTCAAGGAATGCCAGAGCTGCTACCATCGATTGTGCGCAGTGTGCTTTATGAAAACACGATAAGAAGAGCAAACTTGTTTGTCCAGGGTAAAATTTGCAACATAATTTGTAGGAATATTGCGTTTCAATGACGACAAAAAGCTAAGAGTAGTCTAATGTCGATGTTTCAGAAATCTGAAATCAGATGTCCCAATTATTTGGCGAATTTGGTAATAAAGAGATAATTCCATCTCTCATCGAGCATCAATCAAATGGAAGAATTCGTATTAATTCTAAGATGCATATTTTATTCGAATCTCTGAGGTTTGAAGACGCCAATACATACAGGTGAGTCATATTCGTTACAGTTGAATAAAAACAAGTAGAGTTATCTATTGTTTGGGAAAAAAAGAAAAGTTTTCCAATTAATTTTTATGTGCTGAATCCAAACCCAATCTTTACAGTGTGTATCACATCAAAATTTTGAGAAAACCGAAAAAAAATGCTGAAATCGTTATTTTTACATATTTTTCTTTTCTTTAATGTACATTGAAAATGATTTTTATTACTAGTTGCTGGCAAAATAATGAAGTGGCTGGAATAATAAAATTAAATGTCACTGGAGAAATAGAATTCAAGCTGAATCATCATATTCTCATAATCGGCGCCAGTCTCATAATTACTGTACTTCTAATAATATTCTGGAGAGTATTCAAAAGACGAACAAGATATACAACATATCATAGAATTCTGTAATACTGATGTAAAAGAAATAAATTGTTCCTATTTTAAATAAAAACCTGAAATATCTCGGACTTGGAGATACAAAAAAAATATTTCAGACAAAAATTAAAAGATTTGAAGAGAAAAAGAAGACAGAAATATTAGTTCGTTCTTAGATTGATCTCTAAAAATTATGTGAAGGCCAACTTGAACTAATTAAAATAAAACACATATTTTATTGTATATTTTTGTAGCTGATTTTAAAATGGTATGATTAAATCTTTGTTGGTACAAAATTTGAGATACTTGAAACATTCAAGACAATCATGATGTTCTACTTCGAGCAATTTTTGCCTGAAATATTTCTTTTGAAAATTTATATATTGTTATACTAGAAAAAAATATTGAATAAAGTTACCACGACAGTTTCGCCGGCTCTTCGCATAGAGAGTGGTATCATTTCAGGAGTTAAACTCGCCGGAGGATCTATGCCGTTGAGCTTTTGCTTGATAAGCCACATAGCTAGGGCGAATTGTTCCTTATTGAGTTTCCCACTTTGAAAGATATCGCATAAACCCCTAACACATTGAACATCAGTGTTAATCTCACCGTTAACAATTTTTAGGTTAAGACATCTACTATTTAAAGCATTGCTCTTACCATATATGAGCTAATACATGGTGTGGAAGTCCACTTTGTAGGAAGACATCTTTGATCTCCACGCCTGAGACGAATCCATCCCTGTCCAAGTCGGCTTGCAAAAATAATTTCTCCGCGGCTATTTGATCGTCAGCCGAAACCACCCACTGCTGCGGGCTCGGCTGAAAGCGACACAAAAAAGTATGTTACATCTTTTTGGCAAGGCTAAAGTGTAAACGCGTTGCGAGTTGTAAGGTTACAGTTTGAAGGATAAATACTTTTACAGTGTCTAACCCGGTCAAGCTCTTTACAGCCGTCGTCGCGTTTGGTAAGGGTGGAATCGGCGGCGGTTGCGGCGACGCCGCTGTCACCATGCCAACCGGCACGGGAGATGCAGTCTTGGGCATAACGATGTCTTTTCTCTTGCCAGGTGGCATCAGTTCTGGCGGAAGTACACTTGGTATCGCATATTTTTCCAATGCTTTATATACAAGATGCATGGCCTGCGCAACAAGTCAGAATTGTATAGAAAAAGAAATGTAAACCTATACTGGGAAGTATACTCATCGATATTACACTAAAATTATTTTATTTTTTTTTTAGTTAATACTGCAAGCAGTATATTGTACAAAAATCACTTGGCCAACAATAAAAAGTAACAATTAATCAATACTCACAACTACAAATTCATGCCTATCCAGCATACCGTCCTTGTCCATGTCTGCTAAATCCCAGATCTTTCCGAGAGTATCTAGAGGAAGTTTACTATCCATGAGAACACCCTTCACTTTATTTCCAGATATATATCCATTGGATGGCTGTAAGCTATCGAAGAGCTGATCATATTTTGCTCGTTCTGTAGGATTAATTGACCAGTCTCCATTGTTAATGGACGTTATCACCGGCAGAGCATTCGTAATAGTCTTCTGTGGAATAACTGGGATCTCCCCCTGATATCAGAGATATCACAGGTATTATTTGTTCCGATTACATAGTATTAAGTGTACACAAGTAGACTCACCATTTTTGGCGGTGGCAATTCCAAATTTAAATTAGACATATTGAGATCCTTCCCTGTCTGAGCTAACGCACATAGCTTCAGAGCGACAAACAGTCCGGACTTGTCTAAAAAGCCACGCGATTGCGGATCAGCCATATCCCATATTTTACTTAGAATAACATCGCTCAGCTGGGACTTCTTGAGAAATCTCGCAGCGTCCATCGCCTCAATCCGTCCATATCCCTTTGGATCAACCTGAAAAAACAAAATGTGTATTAGCATGTAACTAAACTATAATGTTAATAATATGCTGATAAATTGTAACTTTAATATTCTTTTATAATGTTTTCCAGCAAGATTACATAGATAAATATTGTATCACAATCAGCTGAACACATTTGACTTTTAATTTTTAACATAGGAACACTATGTTTCTTTCTCATTAGTTTTTTTTTGTTTTATACTATCTTTAATTTACATGTTACTTTTGCTAAAATAATTAATATACATAGTTGTTAGCATTAACATACTATCTATTATAATCATAATTCAATTTGAAAAAATCAACTTTTGTTTTGATACAGCAACAAGTTTCATTGTAGCTTTAATTCCTTAATTAAATTTTAATCTAATCACACAAATTCTCAAAAGCAGAACAAGGATTTGAAAGAGAAAACAGCATTTCAGTTTTTAGTACTATGTAAAATATTAATATAAACATTTTTGAAATTACTGAAATAGAGAGGCATTGAAAATACAAATTTTTGATTCTGTCTCGTGGCAATTTGTGTCAATTTGTGTCAATTTGTTTCACTACAGGAAAGCAATTGTAATGACTGTTTTTTTGCTAGAAAACACCTATTCTTTTCGCAGCTAATAATAATATACCTGGTTATAATAAGCTTCATATATCGCGGTATGGCTTCCAGCCACCTGCAAAAGAATAATACCCATATGTACTCTTGCATTATTTTTATTTGCAACAATAAATAAATAGAATTCTAATAAAGCTGACATAAATGTCTGAGCAATTTGCATCGATAAGAATGCAAGCTACAATCGGCGGAAGCAAGAGGGATGACCGTGACGCTTTATCGACGCCCCAATGAGCTCGCTCAAGCGAACGATAAACCGTCACAAGTCAATTATGCGCACGTTATACATTAACGTGACAATCCAGGCTCTCTTCCGGACGAATAAAAGTGTTTTGTGATGCGCGCAAAACGATACACCGTCATTAAGAAGGAAATGCAAATTCTTTCGAACTAAATTGGCTGAGACCGATTGACGGATGTGTCAGTAATATAGAAATTGGACGGTAACGTAATCGTTTTGCGTGTATCGCGACAAGACTTAATGAGAAAAAGCTCACTTCGACGTACGTGAGCCATATTAAACGTCATTATCTTCGTAAAATCATCGAAATTTCAATGTACCTGCGTAGGTGACGGCAGGGCGGCCATACTTGCGTTAAACACTACTTAACCAATCAGACTTCCAATCGATAACACACGCTTTTAACTATTTTGTTCAGCATCTTACGAATATACTTTTCATTATTGGATATTTCAATGCAAACTGCTGCGATCACTATTTCCTTATTACACTTTGCGACTGACGAGTTGCGCAATGATCAAAGGAAATTGTCGCGAAAATATCTAACAGAATGCCTGTTGAAATTTTGATTGTTGATCCACATTTATCCACGACCACTCACACTGTGAAATCAGCAACAAGAAGATTGCGATACTATTTTCTGATGAGTTGTGGAACGCAGAGAAGATAACTCGGAACATGCGCATCTAGATACTTGTATTTTATGACTCTTATTCAAAAATCCACAACTGTTTTTATTGATTGTTTTCGATTCTTTTTTAAAAATCCCAAATAAAAATATAAGCTTAACAAATATTATAAAAACTATTTACACTTGAGTAATAACATCGCAGTTGTAGAAAATAATTTATTGCAAAAAAGAATACCAGTATAGTTTGGAACATAATAACGATAATTTATAATACAATCGTAGATAATCGGGGAAAAGGATTTTGTTTGGATATAACTAATTTTTTATGTTGATAAGATATGTAGCCCTTAATTTTACCTTCATATATTAAATTGGCGAGAAGGCACTCAGTTTCATCCATATCTATATCCTCCATTCCGTACATTTGCAATGCAACAAGCAGACTTAGAACAGGTATCTGATGAGTGTTTAGCGCCAAGTACACTTTCTTAAATAAATTTCTATAAGCGATCAATTTAAGTTTCTCCACAATTAAATATATGCCGGCGTCAATGAAGAAAGTTTCATGTTTTGTCATTACTCCTTCTAAGGAACGCAAATCTCCTTTTCTCACAGATTCTATTAGCTCCCAGAATTCCATTAAATTGTATTTCTTCAGAAGACTTTGCTTTGGCATATATCCCAACAACATTTTCACAGGTACGAGATAAGTCAGAATCAACCTTTTATTTTTGGAGCACTGCGTATGACAATGCTCAAAAGCATATGTCAGGTATTCATCAGCTGCAATAATCATTTAGTAACATTAATTCTTAAACTTCAATAAAATTATAAAGCAGGATACATATAGACTATAACAGTTTTTGTCCATGCACAGACAAAGCAACCATGTTTAACTTATATAAACAATACATCTTCATGTAAGAATAATTTATATATTTTTGTTGAATATTTATGATTGTATACAATATAATAAGTTATAAAAGAATGCACTCACCCATTTTATAATCACTGTCAAACATTGCTTTACGGCCAACAAAAAACTTGTAAGTAATTTGTTGTGCCAATGCAAAATGATCCTTGTAAGGGGAAGATTCTATAGCTCTGATCAAAGGTTTACATAAATGCAACTTGTTAATTCTAAAATACACTTTCAGCAATTGATTGATCAAAGCTAACATTCCCCATCGTTTTGTATCTTCCTCAGAACTTCTACTGTCAGCTGCGCAAACTCGAAAACAAGCCATCAAACACTCAGCGCATTTCTCAAGTACTTCTCCAGACTTTATGTTTTTATTATTCTTTGCATTTTCCGCGCCTATTGCGGACAATCTTAGCTCTAAACACATTATATTCATTACAGGCAGCATCCAATTCTCTTCCTTTTGCATTTGAAGAATCTTTGCTAGACATTGCACAGCTGAACTTTGATAATTATACATTAATGAAAAGTCATTCTTGTTCATAGCTGATACAGCTCTAAAAAAATCAATATTAATTAGAAATAAAGTCAAAAAATTTATATTACCATATAAATAAACCAGTAAGTGTTCTTACTTTAAGTGACAAAGCACCAAGTCATCCAACGGCGCAGACAGGTGTTCCATAGCCTTATTGATAGCAATATCCGATCCAATTTGAGATATCAAAACGTGACTGTGCCTCAGAGACAAGAGATCCTTTAAAAAAACAACATTTGGACTATCTGTGTAAATTTTAACAAGAATATATATGTGTGTGTTACTTACTGCCAACGCTTCTCCATCCTGATTAAGCCACATTCGCCGAATCTACAAAGAATAAAATAAAATATGTCAATTTTATTATCAATTAATATATCAATTATACTTTTTTATTTATCGACTTTTTGCACAATACCTGCAATATATAAGAATCCATTCTGATCGTAGTTTTCGCTTCAAAAATGTTTCAGGTGTTCATCAGTAAACACAGAGTTAAGAGTTAAGAAATACACAACAGCATGCACAATCAAAACGTCTATTTTTTTTTAGCTAGCTGCATTAGTTCAGTTAAAAAGAACAGACCTAAACAGCGTGCAAAGAAACAATCAAGAAGGGCAAACTTTCTTTCAAAAGTAAAGTGCCAGTTTCTGCGACATCTGTTGTCGATGTGAAAACTAAAATAATTAATCACAAATCGCAATTACTTTTCATTTGAAATCAATTACTATTCAATTAAAATTGCCGTTAATTTTCATATCTATAGGTATATCGAGACTAATAAAGAAAAACATAATTGAATAATTATTGAATAAAAATAACCCAGACAGCAGAATCTCCAGAAAGGATTCGAAAAGAATTCTCTTTTTTGAATTCTTTATGATCTGCCAAAATAATTACAAAAAAATTGTCTAAAAGTGCTTTTTTCTGAGTTTTTTAACAGTAAATCAAAAAGAGCTCACTATAAACTTATATTTCTAACACAAAATAATTCTTCATAATCAGTTCATTTTGACATCATATAATATGATGCGCGAAAACAAAAAACACGTATCACCCAACAGGCCATTGTTCTTGCTGGTCATCCATATATGTTCGTCAATTATTCTCTTTGTTATTTATATTTACCCACAAAGTACTTTCCAAGTTTCGCAACTCGTAGTGCACAAAAAGACACGCAGTGTGTGAAATTGGAACATGGTGTCATTACGAAATGGGAACAGTTATTACTGCCGCCAGCATTATTGTGTGCTAGAAAATTACTAACTCAAAGAATCTGAATATTAAAAGATGAATTATCAACATCTGAATGAGAATTCGGAGAAAAGAGACTGCAAAACGCATATGTCAATTTAAATCATTAGATCTGACCGTTGGTTAGTCTGTTTAGTATTTGACTTAGAGTAGAATGAATTATTGTTAATAACTTCTGTTTTGCGTATGTATTTTATGTTCCATTTTGTATTATATTCATGTTAAAAACAAATTTATGAAAAGTTACTAACAAATTTATGAAAAGTTACTAATATATTTTATGATACAAATAAACTTTACTGATTACTATTTTTAAGAGCAAAAAGAAAAAACAGCTATTAATAGGTATGTTTATGACAAGAAAGTATAATGTGTTAAATAAATTGGAGGCGCTATTTTTCTGTTTTGAGAAAAAGTGAAGAGAAACGGTAAGGTGAATGAAAATAGTAATCCATTATATTATCTGTTTTAACATCGTTTAATGTTTTATTAACATTTGTAAGAAAGGTATGAAAAATCGATAAAGAAATACATAATTGAATAATTATTGAGTAGTAATAATTAATCATTTTATGAATTTAGGAGCGTGATACTTGACGTGATTGTATTTGTGAGTCGGAATTAAAAATATTTCTATTAAAATTTATCCACTTTCCCGCGCAAGTAACGTAACGCTCACGGCGACTCACCTCCAGACACATGTTGGTAAAAAAGCGAAAACAAAGCAGAAAGAAGTCGATCCAAAATCACATTCCGGCGTCGAGGTTAGAAATCAATTTATTTAAAGAGAAAAAGATTGATTTTCTATAATCCAGCGCTATGGGGAAGAAAGATAAGAACAAGAATAAAAAGAAAATAAGTGGCAGTGTGAAAACTGCACTGAAAACTGAAAAAAAACTTAATGCTAAGCAAAAGAAGGAGTTAGCGGCGCTCGGTGAGGTTAGTTTTCCTTGTGTCTCAATATAATAAGAGCAATGAACTATAACAATTGCTTATAAGCATATTAATTACAGATTTTAACGAAATTTTATTTACTTAACTTCTATATATATTCTATAAAATAAGGTTGGAAAAGATTGCAGCATTGTAAGAATATAATGAAATATTGAGAAGAATATTTTTAAGATAAATATCTAGAATAATTTCTTCCTGATTGATTTTAATGAGATTTTACAAAAATATGCTAATACTAAATATTTAAAAACTATATTATACATTATTGAAATTATTTGCAGGAGGATATAGAAAAAATTGTTGCTGAGATTGAGAGAGAAGAGGCTCGCAGGCAGTGTGTCCAGGAGGTGGTGATAAAGGCTCCATCCAGACGAGTCAACTTTACTTTCACTGCCCATCCCTCCAAGGATGAGCTCATCATGTTTGGCGGTGAATTTCATGATGGTCGACAAGTGAGTTATATCATAAAAAATTAATGAAACGTATGATGAAGAAAATTATTTTTTTACTGTTTTTTTTCTAGACCCTTGTATATGGTGATATGTTTTTCTACAATATAAATAAACGTGAGTGGACGTTGTTGAAAGCACCAGGGGCACCACCACCACGATGCGGTCATCAGGCAGTAGCCACAATGGCAAACCAAAGTGGTGAATTTTGGATATTTGGCGGTGAATTTACTAGTCCGAGTGAGTCGCAGTTTTATCATTACCGTGATTTGTGGGTCTTCCGATTCGCAGATAAGAAATGGGAAAAGATCACGTATGTATTTAAAAAATTAGACAAGAGAAGAAAAACTATATAACTGAAAAATTGTTTATGTTTCTCAAAAAGAAATTTTGAAATGTAATTTTCTATGTAATATATAATGAATAAATGCATTAGCGCAATATTTTAGCTAATACAGTATTGATACAGTATACAGTATAAAAATATAAACAGTATTACATATACATATACATTATAAAATTACAAAATACCAACAGTATACAGTATAAAATTGCTACGGTATAAATTAAAAAAAAATTAAGAGATAAAGTATTAATTATTATTATTTGGTGACTACAGGGCTCCAAATGGTCCATCAGCCAGAAGTGGACACAGGATGGTGCACGCGAAAAAGCAGCTGATAGTGTTTGGTGGATTTCATGATAATCTACGAGGCGATTCTAAATATTTCAACGATGTGTATATTTTTGATCTGGAGATATACACATGGCAAAAAATTGAACCCCTTGGTAAGTAAACAATCTATTATTTTTTTACTAAAAGTGTTTTTACTATTTTAACTATTATTAGTAAAAATTCTTGCAAATTGTAAGGAAGTTTTTTCTTTTTCACATCTTTCTCTACTTTCGGACTTTTTGTCATTATATTTTTTTGTTAGATGCTTTTGTAAATATTTTTGAAATTGAACAAAAATTATTTGTTGAGTGTTCAAGCATTTTTATCTAAAACCTAGAAAATACTTTATCAAGTATTTCGATAAATGGTTTATTGGATGGTTAAACAAATAACGTTGTACATTTAATCACTTTTTTGTTCTCACAGGCGTTCCTCCTGCTCCTCGATCCGGCTGTATATTACTGCCAACTACGGACAACAAGTTCGTGGTATACGGCGGCTACAGTAAAGAGAAGGTAAAGAAGGACACAGAGCGAGGTCACGTTCACGCCGATATGTTTCTCTTGCAAACGGACAAAACTAACGCAACAAAGTATAAATGGGTCTGCGTAAAGCAGACCGGAATTCGAATAAACCCGAGATGCGGTGCTTCCGCTATACTAATTCAGCCCAACCAGGCCTTTGTGTTCGGGGGTGTTTACGACGATGAGGACGACGACGACGACAATGAGAATCTTCACGGAACATTTTACAACGATCTGTTTGCATTAGATACAGAAAAATTATGTTGGCGTACTGTAACGTTATCTGGGAAAAAAGAAGCGACATCCACTGACGGAGCCGAGGAACGAAAGAGAAGAAGACGAAGAAAACAGAAGGAAGGAGGCGACGTAGAGTCAGGACAGAATAACGATTCTGAGGAAGAGTCGGACGAGGAGTTGGAAGAACTTCCTGCGCAATCTAGTATTACCGATGACGGAATATTCACGGTAAAATATCTTTTTCTCTTTTAATCTCTCAAATGTTAGACCAGAAGCACACAATGCGATTTTCGTACTAACAAAGAAGATTCTTAGAAGGTTGTACTAACAAATGAAACTAAACAAAAAGTTATTTTTTGTTTTGGCTAAAAAATTTTTTTGTGTTTTTCTTATATTAGCCGATTCTTCTCGTCATTCTGCATAATAAAAAAAGTGAATCTTGTATTTATTATACTTATTAATAAAAGAATACTCTCTAAGATGTTCCTGTATAAAATCATAGGTAACTATAGGCTCATCGGCAGTACCTACAGTTTCTTCGGCTCTTAATCATCTCTCCTTGACGAAGAAGAAGGAAGGGACGATATTTTTTCCGTCACCGCGGATAAATGCTGCAATGGCTGTGAAGCACAACGTTTTGTATTTGTACGGTGGCATGGTGGAGGAAGATGATCGACAATACACTCTCTGCGACTTCTACAGCATGGGCAAGTCACTAATAATTATATGTATTGCGATATTGGAATTCCACTGCAAATACTTGTATATTTTTCATTTAGTATTAACATTTCTTTTGAAAATTGTTCTTGTCAATCGTTTTATCTATATAATTTAATTTGTTTCGTATTTTTCTAAATTTTTTAATTTAAGAACTAAAAAGACAATAAAAAGTCCAAATCAAATTTCATGAGAATAAAATAACTTTTCAAATTTGGCTGCCATTCGCTTCAAATTAGGTCTACCATATCAAATTCCAAAATTTTTACTAGGGATTAAAATTTACCGATAAAAATTTATGAATATTGTATTTTTTATGAAAGTTGATAGAAGAAAATACTTTCTTTGAAAAGTGCATGTATGCGTTATTAACATTAGTTGTTAGTTTTTAAGCATGTATGCATTGTTAATACTTGAATGATATAGAAAATGAAAACATTTATTACGCAGATTGCCGAAAACTGGATGAATGGAAAACTCTAATAGCAGACGATTTGTTCTCTCAAGAGTGGTTCGATTCGTCAGACGATTCCGAAGAAGATAAAGAGAGTGAGAATGAAGACGAAGAGGATGAAGATGAAGATGATTAGGATTGAAAGAACAGCAAATAGTATGTGAATATATAGCAAATCTAATAAGCCTATAATAACAAAAATAATTTAAAAACTCAAAGAGAAACAGCAACAATAAATAAATAAATAAACAGTAACTATTTCGTACAGTCATGAAATATTCATATTTAAATCCAAGTTTTATTATAATCTAATATTTCAATTTTTTTAATAATATGTATAATAGAATAAAATAGAATATAATAGAATAAAATAAAATAAAATATAACAGAAGCCACATCAAGCAACACGACAGTGAGTGACGCGTCGAGGTGCATAAAAATTATCTGGCCGCATGACTGTGTTCACAAACGTCACAGCGCTGCGGAATTCTACCACGAAATTTACAAATGCAAAGTTGTTTGAACGAGTCTATTGCGAAATTCTTTGGAGTGCATAAACGCAATGTCCACAATTAAAGAGAAGTAGAAAGAAATTAAATGAGAAATATTGTTGGTCTAGAGTGTGCATTTTTCATGGCCAAACTCAGTTATTGCACAAGCACAAAGAGAACTATGTTCTACATCAAGCATTCTTACAAATAAATCAACTTAGACCGCAACAGTTAGTTAAATTTTATGACTAGACCGTTGAAGTTGAAGTTTTAAAAAACAAGTGATTAAAACAAGTGGTGTAAACATCATAACTGATTCTTCTTGGCTTCTGATACCCCAAATTTGCGATTCTTCATCAGATTAATCACCACGACTGTAATATTATCCGCAGATCCTCTATAAAACATGTCATAAGTGAAATAATTACGTATTAATTAATAAGAAAAGAATCCTAAAAACTAAACAATAAGTAATCAATCCTTAACTATTAAATTAGATAAAAATAATAGGAAAAATCAGAGTTAATGACTTGATAAAAGAGAAGATAAATAATACATGGTGTCTAAGTTCAAAATCTTTGTTTCTACATCATATACTGTGCATGAATTTTGTCATATAAGATAACATGTCGCTTACCTGTAAAAACTCTGCAATGTAATACTTTTTGCGCCAAAATGTGGCTCGTTGATGCGCTCTTTGATGAAAGCTACAGCCTCTTCATTTGTAAATGTGTCCCATAGACCGTCAGATGCCAATATTATGAACATAGGATTGTGATCATTCAGATCGAACGTTAAAATATCCGGATCGGCGATCACCAGTTTTTTATCCTTTAGAGGATAATCTCCCAAAGCGCGAGAAGTCGCTAATATACCGGCGACTCTCCACACGCCATTAAAAGTCACCATACCACCGGCTTTGGTTATTCTTTTTTTTTCTCTTTCCTAAAAACAAATGGAATTAATTATTGCATTATCTTGCATGAATTTGTGTTAAGAAGAAAACAGCAGCTTAAAGTAGTTTTTTTATGCACTGAATTCGAATCCGGTTTTATAATCCATTATTTGATGGATTAATATTGTAACATATGCGATGTTAAAATAACATAAGATAAATATAAAAAAAGATAAATACCTGTTGAGGCTTGTGATCGAACGACAAAGGAATCGCGTTGCCCTTTCCGTCACACATCACACCTCTAGAGTCTCCAACATTTGCTACGATCAACTTATTATCTTCTAAAAGAGCGATCAGAGCAGTAGTGCCTAAAATTGTACATAGAAATCAAGTTTCATAAAGTTTTGATGTTTTTCTCTGAGACATTGATTTTGATTGACATTTATCGGTAAGTAGAGATAAATACCTGCTACATCCATATTCTTCTTTGCAGCTTCGACCAACAGTTTGTCCACTGCCAGGACTTCGTCTGTCAGAAGTCTACCGTAATTGATTTTGTTTCCCTCGAGATAAGTCATCATATCCACTTTGGGCATTTGCTTCTCATCTGTTCTACATGGTCTGACCTAACAAACAGGTGTAATAAACTGAAAACTGGAGGTAAAGCTCATCCTTCGATCGAATATTTTATTATTTACCTTCGTTCAATCCATGTCTGAATATTTTTTTCGTGCAAATGTATGAGTACAATATTTCCAATGCAGAATGATTCTATACTTCTAAACGAGGATTTCAAATATTTCCGAATCTTATGAAGATAAAAAAATGTTTTAGACTAAAGTTGCAAGACTCGAGGGAAAATTTTTACGATTCGAATATGACTATAAAATATGAAACGTGCAACAAAATACAAAGGTCCTTGTTTAAAATAAGACACCTTGTACATTTAAATTGTTGGTATTACTTTACCTCTCTTGTGATTGGTGTTATGTTCTCCAGTTTATTGAGTAATTCTGGATCTGTCACTTCAACGGCTTTCTTCATGCAATCGTCCGTCAGGGAAGTGCTTGCAGTCTTTCGAAAAGACTTTTTTTGTTCCAAAGGCTTTTTATCCTTATTGTCATCTTTCTTTTTTTCTGGCACGGCTGGCTCGTTTGGATAAGTGAATGTTTTGCCGGCCAGCATGTTTTTTAATTCAAAAACTTTTTTATTTATATTGGGGATGAGTTTGTCACGAGCGTAGTTGGCTGCAAACTATAAAAACAGCACGGTTGAATTATTCATATATGTCTCTCTCCTTAAAATCTGATCTCATTTGAGTATTTGATATTGAAGACGACACGATAAATAAATCGTCCATTTGTTAAGGTTGTACCTCTCCACCGTGACCATCGAATACTGCGAACAGGGAAACTCCTGTATTGTTCACATCTTCGTTTACAACAAAGCGATCTTCCATCCGAGCTCTATGCCCTTGTACAGCATACGCTGCAATATGACCTTGTTTTAACTCCCAACTAAGTTTTACTGCATTGACAGTGTCATTAACTAAGAACTGCAACTTAGACACCTACACAAAAAATTATACAATGTAGAAAAAGAAGCAAAAATGCGACATACACTCAGTATGTGCGTTTCTTCGATTCAACTCACTCAACAATTTTAAATCTTTAGTAAAAAATTATTGTACTTAAAATATTCAAAAAGAATTTTACACAATTTATATAATTATTTTTATATAAATGTATTGTCACAAGATAATAAAATTAAAATAAAATAATCTTTGATGTGCATACCTTTGTAGTGCGTCCAAAGGTGTACTGAATTCTTCCTAGAAGCGCTCTGCTCCAGACGTCTATGGCTTGTATGTAAAACAGAACAACTGCCACAACTATACCACAAACCAGTACTTCTGGTTTCAGAGCATAGATTCGCATAATTCTACAGAGGTAGCCTAATGGTGTGTTAATCCCGACATGTAACCCAGGTGAGATGCCCACAGCAAACTTTGACATGAGCTTCATATGTGATACATATGTCTATTAAAATTAATAATTAAATTATTATTATTTAATTATTATTAAATTTAATTATTATTATTAAATTATTATTTTAAAAAATAATATAATATTGAAAAAATGCAAAATAATACATCAAATATTTAGATTAACTACTAGATTGACAGAGATTTAATAAAAGTATGAATTCATTTTTAATAAATATTTTTTATATTTTATATAATTTAACAACACACAAAGATTATAATAAAATATATGGTATGATATATTATGCAATGTTATGGTATATTGCAATATATTATATTAGTTTTTTTTTTCTAAATATTAAGCAAGCTCCTTATCATTGCCATGGATGTCTTTTATATTTTATTACTGTAACACATGTAAAATATAATAGTTTATTATATTTGAATGCAATTATAAAACATTAATTAGATAGGCATACCAAAACCACATTAGTAGAGATAAATTTATAATATAGTGTATAAAACATTAAAATTTTTGAAAAAATGTTAAAAAGGCAAAAAAATTGCAATAACTAAAACAAAAGTGGTCTTAACAATAATTAGATAAAAATGTTAAGTTCCATTGATAAACATATTAGACATAATGTTTATATAAAAAACACATTAGACATAATTTACACATACTACTACTGCTACTAATTATTTTTATAAACATCTAATACTGATTTAATTAACAATAACATATAATTTGTTGAATTTTTTGTCAGAGCCCTAATTTGTACTAAATATAAAATTATAACCTAAAAAAGATGATAAATCTCTAACTTAGGATTGCTTAATAGCTGATAAGAGGAACAATTTAGTTTTAAACATTAATAATTTTAAACGCGTAATTAACAGTTAATAACACAGTTGGAGCGTTTACTCTTTAAATATTGTTTTATTTTCACATGAAGGTTTTCAAACTAAGATGATATAATGTATTACATCCTTAAAATACAAGACAATGAAGTTTAGCGTTTTTAAACCTTCTTTTTTATGTAAAGTCAATTTTATTACCTGATATAAAACTTGATCTTCAAATTCGTCATCCATAATATTTGGCAAAATTCGATATAGTTTTCAGGTTAGTGATTACTTATGAGGTTACTCGCATTACCTCTTTTTCTTTGGTAAGTTGGCACCACGGACTAAGGAATAGAGGGACCGAGTCTAAAGTCCTAGTTTAGGCGAGAGGGGATGGTAATTCCATAGGGTGTTTACGATAATTCAAGTTCGAGTTAGTTTTACTAGGACCGAAAAATGAGATAGACATAACCATCTAGAACCTTTATGATTTATGACAACTCGACGCTGTCTTGTATTGCTTGAGTTAAATTCATTGAATTTGTTGAGTTTATTGAGCAAATTTTATTGTAATAGAAAAATGTCAACTGCAAATCAGTCTATGAAAGAAACAAA